AGTGATGTTTTTGTTTATTGTTGTTCAATTGATTTTACTCCTCCTGCAATTAAATTTAAGTTAGCATGTCTGCCAGAATGCTTTCATTTCTCTTCTCCCCCAGCTCCCTTCTCTTTCACCTTCCTAGGGGTTTTGCAGTTGCTGCATCCAGCTGGTAAAAAGAAAGGGAGCATGAATGAGTGAGCAAGGAGGAGAGAGAAGAAAACAAATAGGCAAAGGAACCAGGGGAGAACAGAAAATGAGGGAGGAATGTAGTCTGCTTAGACAGAGTCCAGATGAAGCAGAAAACAGGGTTGTGGAGACCCAGGAGAAAAGACTCAAGAGTGAAAATTTTAGGGAGCACTAGGAACTTGGCAGAAGTTTCAAGGAGTATCGTTAAGCTCTCTGGAGACAGAAAGAAGATGAGGAGAGGGGGAACGCTCAAGAATGTAGGAAAGGAGACACACAGTAGCTCTTTTTCTGCTGCCAATATTTTTTTCTCGCTGGCAGCCACTCCCAGAAAGAATGGGTTAAAAACTTCTGTGTTCAGATAAATATGTTCCTCTCTCTTTTGTAGTCTCTTTGAAGCAGTCTACCTTGAGGGATCTTAGATGTGAGGTGAGGGAGAGCTCTAAGATTAGAGCCTATGGTCAGCATAAACTTTGTGTTCCTGAGGTTCCACAAGTAAAAGTCTGCAAAAAAACTGTAATGTGCTCAAATATTCATTTGTTTTTAATGCCTTTTATATATAGATGTGCCCTTTCTTCTTGAGGGAAACGGAACTGAAGAACTTTGTCTTTTGACTTCAGGAAAATTAAGCTATTCTCTATCATGGGCCTTAGATGAAAATGGTGTTCCTCTGACACCTATGTCACAGTCATTAAGATCTGCTTACTGCAGGTAATAAACGTTTATGCTTGAAAAATAACGCCAGTCCTCAGCAAAGCATCTCACAAGACCTACAAAAGGGAAAACTCTAGAAACAGTTTAGTTTACTTGGATGTTGCTTTATTTTTTATTTGTATTTATAAATATGTAAAATATTTATATATTTTATTTATAATCACTCTACTAAGACAATAAGTATCTTTGTATGTAAGAGAATGTATCTCTTCAATGCTTAGGATTAGAGCCACATGGATGATGAGAGAGGCAGTTCCACAGTCCTTAAACTGTAGGCAAAGGCCAAGACTCCGAAGGATTTTACTTCTGGGACCTTTATATCTCCCAGTCATTCTGGATTATGAAAGAATCATTTTTTACATTATCAATTTGCTGGAAGAAATTGCTGGACATAGAAATTTCATCTATATCCCAGGACTTCCTAGAGGAATTGGGATTAACTGCTAGACCACATCCACAAACAGGATTACTAGAAGTAAAGTAAAATTCTATAAAAACGATGATAATGCTGGCTTACCTATTGTGCTATGTTTGAGTAAGACGGTATATATAAAGGACCAAAAGATCCCATCGTTTAAAAATTAGTGAATGATGATAACAAGAAGATAGCCTTTCCCCTACCCATCTAAACACATATTTTTTAAAAAACCATGGCTATATCCAACTATATGACATTATGGGAAAGGCAGAACTATGGAGACAGTAAAAAATGTGAGTGGTTGCCAGGGGTTAGGAAGAGAGAGGGATGAATAGGCAGAGCACACAGGATTTTTAGGGCAGTGAAACTACTCTGTATGTTGCTATAATTGTGGATACATGTCATTACATATTTACCAAAATCCATATAATGTAAGACACCAAGAGTAAACCCTAACGTAAATCATGGACTTTGAGTGATAATGATGGGTCAGCATAGGTTCATGGATTATAACAAGTGCAATTCTTTTATTGCAACAAACATAATAAATTATAACCCTGGTGCAGGATGTTGATAGTGAGGTAGGCTGTGCAGGGTGTTTTAGGAGAAAAATGGACAATTAATAAGGGTAATTCATTTTGGAACTAGTGAATAAGCTTTTAATACGCTGAACCATTATTTTCTTGTGTTTCTTAGTATTTCCCTAGCATAGTCCCCACTGCAGCTATTTTTAATCTTTGCCTCATCATACTATTCTTTGCCTTTTTCTTGGAGTCAGGAGTTTGTTCTCCTCACTCTAAAGCTAGCTTTTATACAAGTAATTTGGAACTTTCCTTCGTCTCCATTAGGATTCTGCTGACATATTTATATCCTTTTCTTATCTTTTCTTCAACTTTTCCGTTTCCTACGCTATAAGTCTTTTGTATCCAAGAAGCTTTCTGTGCTTTGAAACAAAGAAAAATCTAAGCGTTTGATTAAACCCTGAAAACTCTTTCTGGTTGTTTTTCTCACCCAAGTCCTCATATGGGTGGTCTACTGGTCTGCATACATTGCCTCTACTTTTAATTCACACATTTCGTCCTTAACCCAACTCAGTTATTCCTGAAGGCTACCAGGGACCTTCTGGACATATTCATTGGCCCATCCTCCTCGTTTTGCTTCTTGAAGTCTTTTGTCTCATGGCTTCTGTGATGCTGCACTTAACAGTTCCTGTTAGTTGGGAACTCAAGTTTATAAAAGATTGAGAGTAATTCTGCAAGATTGGAACAGATGACAGGTTTCAACAGGGAATGAATTGCAGGAGAGGTTTTCAAAGTTCAAAGTCCTTTCTAAAGTGAACTAGAAGTAAAACTTTACAGTTGGGGCCTCTGAGATCAGAGAAGGAAGTTACAGAACTCTCCTCCTCTACAGTTGTGGGAGCCCAAGGACTGGTGAGGAGCAGTGGTTCTAGGAATGGGATGGGTGCTCCAAAAAGCAAGATTGACTTGTGAGAGTCAGAGCATGGAGCCAAAGGAGAGCACAAAGAAAGTATGTTCATTCACTGTTTCACTCACTCATTCATTCCTTTATTCATCAACTACTGACAGAGCCAGAGACAAAGAAGTGAACGAAAAGAAGATCTTAGAATGCTTCAGTATAACATTAGGCGCACCTCTCCAATCCCATGTTGTCTAGAGTTTTTGTCTAATACATTTTTAAAACATAAAACAGTTTTTCTTACACTCACTGTTAATTATTTTCTGACGTGGTTAATTGACTTTTATGTTAGCCCTCATTTCTTACCTCCCACAACTTTCATTCTGGATTTACTTGCTGAAAGTTGCTCCTTTAATGATTCAGTTTTCATGGCTAGCAAGCTTGTTTAGTCTTTGTAGATCTGCACATGTGTTTATATTTTCCTCCTTGAATAATTGTTTAGATGGGCATAAAATTTGAGGCTGATATTTATTTTCCCTATTTGAAGCTATAGTTACATTATCTTCTGGGATTTATCGTGGCTGTTTAAAAGTCTGCCATCAGTCTGAACATTAGTATTTTGTAGATTGTCTTTTCTCCCTGGTAACTTTAAAATTTTTTGCTTAATTCATAGAGACAAAGCCAGGGGCTGAGGGGAGGGAGGAATGGAGAGTTATTGTTTAATGGTACAGAATTTCTGTTTGGAATGATGAAAAATTCTGGAAGTACATAGTTACGGTGGTCGTACAATACTGTGGGTATACTTAATATCACTGAATTATATTACTTGCTTAGCATTTGGTTGTGAAGGAGGGGGTGCAGATGACTGAGGAATTTTGCCGTAGCCCACGGCTAAACACCTGTAGGGCCAGCTGGGGGAATCAATATAGCAAGGGCAGGAGATGTTCTGTGGTCTTTATTACTTCCCCTGAGGCAGAAATCTGGAGACTACCTTGAAATACAATTACAAGCTAATTTTTTTAGGCTATAATGGGATAAGTTTCTCTCCCTAATCTATTTATTGACATTTGAACTGTACCTCAGCCTTTTTTCTCTAGGGGACCTGGGCTAAGAATCTTCCCATGAGAAGGAACATTTGTTACATGATGGTGTTAAGGGTGTCAGGCCCTAGATATCTCTTATGACAAAGACATTAAAACAGTTTAAATATGAGAGCAGACATAGGAATTAAAGAAAGGAAGAATACTCAAACTTTACCTATTTGTAATTTTGCTTAACATCCTATCATACCATACATTGGCTTTGTTAGCAATAGCTTCCAAAGATTCATCATAAAAATATGAATAGATACTGATGGAAAGTAGACAGTGTAAAATGTATGTCCATGTTTGGGTTGACATTATTGAATCTGAGTCAGAACTGTATTTCTGGAATCCTAGTTTATGGACTGGAATTTTTCTTGAGTACTTTACAGAAAGGATCTTAGAAATCTTCTAGTCCAAATTGCTCTAATTCTACATGATGAAACAAATTATCTATGAAGAGAGAGATTAAATAACTGGGATAATTGATGGCTGAAAATAAACCCTTACTGTTTAGGATTGAATTCCTTCTTCACTTAGCCTATAGTTGAGGTCACTAAGGATGCATTATGAGTCTAGCCCATCTTTTATAGCTCTCTTAACTTCTGAAGATGTGGCCTCATATGACCAAAGATATTCTTCTGGCCCATACTTCCCAGTTAATTGTATTACATACTCTATATTATGTTTCAACTGTAAAGATGTAGCCTAAAGATTCTTTTTATATTGTGGACTTTAGATAGCAAAGATGAATATTTACAGATTTTACCCTTGAGAAGCTTACTTGTCTCTTAAGGGAGGAGTAGACATTTATCAAAAAACTATGATACACAGCTAGTGGTTTGTGACCACCTAGAGGGGTGGGATAGGGAGGGTGGGAAGGAGGGAGATGCAAGAGGGAAGAGATATGGCAACATATGTATATGTATAACTGATTCACTTTGTTATAAAGCAGAAACTAACACACCATTGTAAAGCAATTATACTCCAATAAAGATGTTAAAAAAAAAAAAAAAAGCTATGATACAGTTAGAAAGTGAGAAGAACCAGGAAAGATATCGCATCTAAACCTTCTATTTTATCCTTAAACACAGGATAAGCTTTATCGTTAAATACCTGGAATGGGTAGGTTTTACCCCATATAACAGATTTATCACCTGCATATTATATAGAAATTCACAAAATATTTTTCTTTATGTTAGTGTGTTTAGGAATGTAGATGCAAGAGGTGTTCCTGGAATTCCATGGCTTATTAATGCACAGAAGCTTTTTGAGTGGGCAAATGAGGTCAGAATTGACCCAAATAATCCAGAATATTCTGATTTAATGGAATTTGTTATGGTAAGTTATAGCAAATATCTGTACTGTAAATATATTTTATTTCTTAAGCTCTACACTCTTATACTCCACAGTTTGCAGTGTATTTTTCTAGGCATTAGGAGGCATTAAAAGTAAATCTGAGGACAGATAGAGTTTTCAGCCAGTTTATAGTATTGTAAGGCAGAAATTCAGCAACTGAAATAATTACTACTTTAGGCCTGATGATTGGTACTCTGCCATTATTTAGCAGCCCTTGCTTGGTGCATCTTGCATCCAGGCTGACATCTATTGTACATCTACTGAATGCCAGCCATATTATTAAATGCTGAGGATTTTAAAGATGATTTATAGACACACTCCTTCCCTCAAAGACTCTATTATCTATTCACTTCTCCTACTCCTCCTTACAGCCAACTGAACTGCTCTGTGTGCTCCACACAGGCTTTCTTCATACCTTTATTCATGTCATTCCCTCTGTTTAGAAACGTACCTATAGCAGCTGTCTTACCCACCCTGCAAGTCTGGGTAAATCCTTCCTTGGCAACCGCAGTTAGATATGGGCTTTTCTTCCCTTGCCCTCCTGTTAACTTTTTTTCTTTTTATAAACTCTTATGGCTCTAATACCATTCTGCCTTTTACCTTAGTTATTCGTCCATGTGCTTTATCTTACCTTGTGGAACTGCAACTAGTAAATCTTTGTCTCTCTTATGGCAGCTAGCACTTTTCTTTGCATGTACCATGTACTCACATTTACATTTATTGAATAAAGCAGTGCATGCATAGATTATTGCAATTAAGTTTCTTCAGAGCAGAGCTTCTCAACTGATGTGCTGAATTGATTACATGTGTATAGAAATATTGATCCTCTGTCGACTCATAGGGCAATCAGACACAAAAACTCTCATCTTTTAACCCGCTGTGCAGTACACATGTTTTCATTTTCTGTATAAATCATGACCAGGAAAAGGCTGAGAAACTGCATAGGCCGGATTCTGCATTTCTTTTTCCAGATTTTCTGTACAGATTCAGTTGCTCCATTTCCTATTTCTATTGCAACTCTCATATCTCACAGTTAGGGGGGAAAACTGTTTTGAAATAATTCTTGAATTTCAAAAAATTAATATTTTAAGTAAAGACTTTACATTATTTGTGTTTTATAGTACATGAAACATAAAGAACAGGATATTCCAAAGTATTTTCGTCTCAAACAGTTGCAAGATGAATTTAACTTTGTTTCTGAAGAGGAAATGAAAAAGAGTAAACGTTTCCAGCTATTGCAACTTAGAAATGCAGGTCAATTAGATGTTTTCCTTCTGCCGCAAATGCCCGTCTATGACAGAGAGATTCCAGATATACTCTTCCAGGTACTTGGTTTCTATTTGAATATAGTTTATTCTACGATAAGTTAATGTTTTGCTGCTTTAAATCTATCTTAATTTTTTTTAAACTGATAATCTGTAGACAACAATTTTCCCGTCTTAAAATTTTTTTTAATTGAAGTATAGTTGATGAACAATATTTATATAAGTTTTACAGGTGTACAATATAGTGATTCACAACTTTTAAAGGTTATACTCCATTTATAGTTATTTATAAAATATTGTCTATATTCCCTGTGTTGTACAACATATCCTTGTAGCTTATTTTATATATGATGGTTTGTACCTCTTAATCTTCTACCCCTATATTGCCCTTCCCCACTTCCCTCTCCCCACTTGTAACCGCTAGTTTGTTCTTTATATCTGTGAGTCTCTTTTTTGTTGTTGTTATATTCAGTTGTTTGAAACAATATGTTTTGTTGGACATATTAGGCAACATGTTGGACATAGATAGGCAACAGTCATGTCCATGTTGATAATACTTTCTCTTTCACAATTAAGTCGAGCTTGTTTCATGGGAATTTTTCTTTCTTGATTTTTTTTGGGATCCCCTTTTCTTTAGGCATTAAAAATGTATAGCTCTCCCAAATTTCAGAAAGTCCTTAGCTTAACTTTGCAACTTAGTTGTCCCAACAACCTGTTTCACAGCCAGACTCCTTTAAGTATATTATAAATTTATGTAAATATTGTGGTTTTTATTGTAAAATGTATCACCAATTTAATAGCAACTTTGGGGGATAAGGGAGAGAAACACTACCACATTAAACTTACACTTGATTAAAAGCACATCTCAATTTCAGAAACTTTAAAATGTGGGGAAAAAAGAAAGAAAGAAAAGTTCATCTTATGCTGTGTAGTGATGGCGTGCTGGAGCCTGCTGGCACCAGCTGGTGAGAGCCTGTTGTGTGCATCTCTTCCCCGCTCCACCTTCAGTGATTTCATGTTGGTTGCTTTAAATGTATTGCTGGGAGAATGTCTACACCATAAATCAGCAAATGCTGCAAATTGGGGCTTCCCCTCCCACTCCCAGAGAACTGGCTGTTAAGCATTTACCAGCACTCCACTAGGCTTAAAAGAATGGAATTATAAGAGCTAATTCCTGTAGAAAAAAACAATTGTACTAATCCTAACACTTGTGCTTGCAAAGAGGTGGTTCAAGAAGAAAGAAACCAATGTTCCGTCTCTGAAGAAAATGCCTGTGTAGTAGAATTACCACCATAGGGTGATGTCAGCCAACTTAAAGACAGCAGATGCTGACGAAGGATATTGAGGTTTATACATCTTATGAGTCAGAAAGAGTGAATGCCTTATACTAAAATTGGTTATAACAGGCTTATTAACTCTGGTGAATTATTATCAATTGATAAAAAACGGATAAACTTTTTGATATTTGATTTCATTCGATTCTGGACTGAAGGGAAATAGCAGCAAGCCACTTAATATTAAAAATAGTAAAAGTTACTCATAAAAAGGTTTATGTTTTTTTCTTGCTGTTGCCACTCAGCCATCCTTTAGCTGTTATACCCTAATAAAGAGGAGACACAAACAAAACTATACAGGACTCATCACATTCAAAACTCAAGTAACAGTGGGAAGACAGTCATGGCTGAACCAAGTGGATTGTCTGAGAATCTCTTTTGGTGTGGCTCAGAAGTGAAAGAGGAAATGCAAATTAATGATTTTTCAATGATAATATCATGGCACCACCAGTTAGCACATATGACTATAATAGTCGTAGGATTTGCAGATTATTCATTATTTTCACAAACATGGGTGAGTAGAAATATATGTATTCACAAACAGACCAATTGATATTTGGCTTTGGAAAGCATTGCTCACCTTTTAATTGTGATTCATCTGTTTTGAGACCTTAGGAATTTCAGTTAGTAAACTGCAGTGGGAAGGCCTTGGCTTAGAATGGCTGAAAAGTTATTCAGTTTCCTCCTGCTTCTCTCAATGACTGAATTCAATTCTACAGTTCCGTAAACTACTGTGGGCAAAGCACAGTGCTCAGCATAATTGAGGATATAACTTCATAAAAGAGGAAGAATTTCTGCTTCTGAAACTAGGGGCTTTGCTGACTCTCCTTATCTTATACAAACTATTGAGAGAACACAAAAAGAGGGAAAGGAACCCAACTCATTTTCTGAGGTTGATGACCTTCATGCCAAAATTGGGCAAAGAAAGCAAAACATGATCATTTTAGGTCAATTTCACTTATGAGCATAGATGTGAAATTACTAATAAAATTTTAACAAATCAAAAAGCAATATATTAGGTATAAATATATAATTATACACCATAATCTAGTAGGGTTTATTTCCAGATAACAGAACTAAGCTAATCTAATTAAGGAACCTATTAATATAATTTACCACATTAACAGAGTTAAGGAAGGAAAAAATACGCTCCTTTTAAATGCCCGAGGGACTTCCCTGGTGGTCCAGTGTTTAAGATGTCGCCTTTCAATGCAGGGGGTGCGGGTTGCATCCCTGGTCAGGGAGCTAAGATCCCACATGCCTGGAGACATCTTCAGCCTGTCCCCCTCCTCCTCCTCTTCCCTCCCTCTTACTACCCCCTCTCCTCTCCCTTGTCCTCCTCCTCTAATTTGTTTACAAGAAATATGAGGAATAAAGGAACAAGTTAAATGACACCACAAAGAAACAATCAGACAAATTTGGAATGTGGGCCAACTGGCTAGCAAGTACAACTGTTTCTTTCTGTTGCATTTTGATCTCTTTAAAAAGTCATCATTTTTAGACCTAAATAGACATTTCTTCAAAGACATACAGATGGCCAACAGGCACATGAAAAGATGCTCAATATTGCTAATTATTTGAAAAATGCAAATCAGAACTACAGTGAGGCACCTCCTCACACTAGTCAGAATGGGCATCATCAAAAAGTCTACAAATTAAATAAATGCTGGAGAGGGTGTGGAGAAAAGGGAACCCTGCTACACTGTTGGTGGGAATGTAAATTGGTATAGTCACTATGGAGAACAGTATGGAGGCTCTTTAAAAACTAAAAATAGAGTTACCATGTGATCCAGCAATCTCACTCCTGGGCATATATCCAGAGAAAACTCTAATTCGAAAAGATACATGCACCCCAATGTTCATAGCAACACCATTTACAATAGCCAAGACATGGAAGCAGCTTGAGTGTACATTGAGAGATGAATGGATAAAAAAGATGTGGTATATATATACAATGGAATATTACTCAGCCATAAAAAGAATGAAATAATGCCATTTACAGCAACATGGATGGACCTAGAGATTATTAAACTAAGTGAAGTACGTCAGAAAGAGAAAAACAAATACCATATGATATCACCTTCAATTTAGGAAATGCATTACAAAGTCTTAAAAAGAGAGCTGTGCAATTATGTGCTCATACACATACACCCCTTGATGGTATTAGGTTTGCTAGGAATTTCCAGGCTGGAATCAGTAGCAATTTTCTAGAATTTTGTAAAGCCATCATTTGGCTGTCTCATGTAAAGCTTGTTCTCAATAAAATAAGATGAAAGAAAAAAATATCATATGATACCACTTATATGTGGAATGTAAAAAAATGATACAAATGAACTTATTTAGAAAACAGAAACAGACTCATAGACATAGAAAACAAATTTATGATTACCAAAAGGGAAAGGGGGTGGGGGAGGGATAAATTAGGAGCTTGGGCTTAGCAGATACAAACTACTATATATAGAATAAATAAACAACAAGGGCGTACTCTATAGCACAGTGAACTTTATCCATATCTTGTAATAACCTATAATGGGAAAAAAAATCTGAAAAGAATATATATATTATATATATGGAGATATACAATATATATATAGTGAAAAAACAGCAATTGGTGAAAAAACAGCCATTGGTGAAATTTAGATATTGGACTATTATGTGATATTGATAATTGAATAGTAGATATATTGGAAAATTGTTAGTTTTGTTGTCTGTGATTATAGCACTGTGGTTGTGTCCTTAGTTTTTGGAGATTCATGCTGAAGTATTTATTTAGGAATGAAGTGTCATGGTGTCTGTAATTTATACTTTGAGATATTTAGCCAAAAAAAAGAAAACAAAAGCAACAGATTAAGCAAATATGGCAAAATATTAATTACTTAATCTAAAGGGTAGGTACATAGATTTTAACATTCTTTCTAATTTTCTGTATGTTTGAAAAACTTGAGGAAAAATTAAAAACAAAAAATAAATAGCATTCTATACACCAACAAAAACCCACTAAAAATGTAACTTAACAAAGATACACCCTACAGTAGCAATAAAAACTCTTAGATTCATAGGAATATATTGAACAAAACATGTACAAAAACTTGATGGAGAAAATTATAAAACATTTTTGAATGGTGTAAAATTAGATTCAGACCTCACAAAAGAAATAAATACTATGTGTAATGAAGATTACACATGAAATGCAAAACTTTAAATGTATATCTTAATCTTGGGCAGGAAAGTATTTCTTAAACAAAACACAAAAAGTACAAATTATAAAGAAATAGATTAATAAACTTGATAATATTAAAGTTTAAACCCCACAGATTAGGAAAAGATATTTTCAAATTATATATTAATTAATAAAAATTAGTATCCAGAGTATTTAAGTAACTCCTATAAATTAATACTTTTAAAATAAATAAAGTGATATGAAATAGTAATATAATATATCCCTAGGTAAAAAGTTGTTACTTGTCAACAGGATTAATTTCAAGATTTCTTGTGGATAATTAGAAAAACAAATAAATTACTTTCAGATAATTTACCTACTTAAGGTAAGAGATACTTCATAATTTTTGTGTCATCTTTAATGCTCTCTATAATGTAAAATGATTTCAGTGTGCAGTTAGGAACGTATCCCACAAATGCAGCTATAACAGATGCAATTTATTCTAGATTATATAGATGAAGCATCCTGACAAATAATCTTAGACCCGCTGCTGGATGTTAAATTAAAGTTATTGATTATGGCCAGCATATTTTGACTACTTACTGTATGCCATGCACTTTATAGATATTGTTTCAGTTAAATCTCACAGCAATCCTGTGACATATTAATAACAGTAAGATTATCATTATTCCAAAAGAGGAAACTGAGGTCTGCAGTAGTTAATCATCTTTTCCCCAAACCACAAAGTTAATAAATGGCAGGGCCAACAGTTGAATCCAGGACTATGGCCTCCAAAGCCCACTCTCTTGACCCTTATACTCTACCACTTTCCATTTCTTTTGTTTCTAGTGATTACCAGGTAAATGCATGCATGAAGAATTGTTCTCAATCGTCTTTACATTTTCTTATAATTTTCTCAATTGCAAATTTTTTCTCAATCGTTACTCAGTTTTAAAAGATGAATGGACCTCCTCCTAGAAGCAAACAAAATATGTGTTCTTAGCTAATTCTCATTGGGAGAATCTAAAAGAAGTATTCTCTCCTCTCAATTCCAGAGTGTTGCCAATATCTCCTACACATGAACTGAAATGAGTAGTTAATATTTTATTGCAGTGTATCATATCTAAACTCTGTTACATTCAAGAAGTGAAACTAATTTAATTCTCTGTTTATAGGAATATGAAAGTCAGATAGAGAAGGATATGTCCATTTCAGATATGAATTCTATTACCGCACAAAGGATTAATTCTGCCAATTTTCTGAAAAAGGTAACAACAACAAAATAGTTTTATCAATATGTTTGAATTTACTTTTGTGAAAACTGGTCTGCTGGATGCACAGTACTATACTCTTCCCAGAGAGTCAGATGGACAGACTTGCTTACTCATCACCTCTTTCTGATCACTGAGAGGTTTTCTGTTCTATTCAGACTTCCTTTTCAGAGTTAGTTACTGACCACCTGTAAATGTACACTGCTGATGTACATTGTTGATGCAGCAGTTACTTCAATTGACAGCAAACTCATTATTAAAGCATATCCCACTGTTTCCATTTACAAATGAACGTTAAAGACTTCCCATCTCTTTCTGACCCTAAAAGTTCACTTTGGGAAGTACGCCAGCATTTTGCCAGAATCCCTAGTTTTATTAATAACTCATAATGCCGTACACCAGAGCAGTTCACGGGACAAAGGGATGGAGGAGCCACTAGGAGACAGAACACCGTAACAAAGCCTAAACCAGGTTTGAGGTGGAATCCCTCACTGAATTTCACCCCTGATTTCTTTCCACTGACCCCTCATCGCTCCAGTGACTATATGTATAGATCCATCATGCCCAGCACAGTGCTCTTCACTCAGAAAATGTTGAGAAATGTTTGAACAATTAATGAAGTAAGGGATAAAATTGCAGGCTGAGGAGGTTTCTAAGACTTCTGCAAGAGTAGAATCTATAGGCTTTGCTATAGAGCACCAGAGCAGCCTTTTAGGGTAACTTGAAAAGAAGCAGAGAGCCATGGAAAGATCTAAGAGATACATACAATTCCCTCGTGGAGACAGGAGAGAAGCAAACTTGTGTGACTAGAAAAGCCCTAGGCAGGTGTGTGAAGACCTGTTCTGAGCATCCTGTTTTTCTTTGGGCAGGTAATCTATGCACTGAGTCCTGCCTTATTGTTCTATAAAAACAGACAATAAAAATGCCTGCCTTGCTTTACTTCTGGAGTAAGGGGCAAATAAGATAGAACCTCAAGTTCTATGCTAGTTTGTACTCTGTTCCTGTGGAAGTGTGGTGGAAATGCAGACCACTATAGCTATTGTAGCCTGAAAGAGCACCTCCTCTTTATTGCTGGCAGACGTTTTTTTCCACTCACTCTTGCCCCTCCTACACCTTCTTAATTAGCTCCATATATATATTTTTTAAGTTGAGATGTGATTTAATAATGATATTTGCGTCTTAGGAAATAAAGAGGTGTTCTTACTCATAAGAAAAGAGAGGGCTTCCCTGGTGGCGCAGTGGTTGAGAGTCCACCTGCCGATGCAGGGGACACGGGTTCGTACCCGGGTCTGGGAAGATCCCACATGCCGCGGAGCGGCTGGGCCCGTCAGCCATGGTCGCTGAGCCTGCGCGTCTGGAGCCTGTGCTCCGCAACGGGAGAGGCCACAACAGTGAGAGTCCCGCGTACCACAAAAAAAAAAAGAAAAGAAAAGAGAATACATATCCTTCTTATGCCTTCTCTTTTTTTGGTGTATGAGAAAGCCCAGAAGGGAGGGCAGCAAAAGATCAGGAATGTGGTAAGAGAGCAAGTGTCTGAGGATTCTTGACCTTCATATAGGAATCCTGGGAAGGAGCTTTAGGAACATTGTGTGATTGGGTTTCACCTCCTTGTGAAGACTTCTTTGCTATCTCAGGATAGTTTAAAACTACAAGTTTAAGGGATAATTACTTTAATTACAGGTACTGGAATCCTGCTTTGACACTGGAGGCCTAATAGGGCCATGGTGTTTAAATCCTGCTGTGGGAGGGACTGTGAGTTATATGCATTACACTTCCTGCTGTGTTAGTGGGGTCAGTGGTGGCTGAGGCCGGGAATGGAGCAGTAAAGTCCCAGCAGTCTCAAGGATTGCTAGATAAAGCTTTGCTGAAATATTTGCATCTAAGAGGCCAGTGCTTCTCCTCAACCTGTCCCTTTCATTAATTTACTCAATAAATACTTATTGGGCACCTGCTATGAATCAGTCTTTATACTAGACATTGGAATTACAGCAGTAAACAAAATAGATTAAAATCCCTGGCCTCCTAGAGGAGGTCGTTCTGGTGGGGGAAGTCAGTTAATGAACAGAACATTAGTATGTTAGAAAGTGATATGTGCCATGACAAGTGAAGTAGGAAGAGAGGACAGGAGTGTGTATGGGGGTGGGGGGGGTCAGGTGTGATTTTAGATAAGGGAAAGCCTTCCTTAGATCAAGGAAAGCCCTCAAGATGCTAACGCTTCAGCAAAAGACCTGAAGTGAACTGAAGGAGCTAGCCATGGAGGTTTTTTGGGAGAAGAACATTCCAGGCTAATGGAACCACATGTGAAAACTGTGAGGAAGGAATATGCGTGGCCTATGGGAGGAACGGCAAGGAGCTCAGTCTGTGTGATAGCAAGGGAGCAAGGGAGAGGGAGAGAGAAAGAGAGAAAGACAGAGAGAGAAAGCACAAGTGAGAAGGCTCAAGCACACTGATGGGGTCAGAGGGAGGAGGGGTGTGGTTCACCTTCAAAGGAAACAATTTGTTCCCCACATGGCAGGGTAATTCTTAGGAATTATAATTTCCCATTCTCCTATTACCCCATTTTCCTATCGAATTTAAGCAGATCATTAGGCTCTAGGTTACATTATCTTTGGGATGATTTGTTGCAGGACAGAAAGAAAATTGCCTCCAGACACACTTCTTCCTGGTTTCATTTCTAAAAGTCTAAACCTGTTGTGAAGCATGGGGTTAGGGGAGAAAGGGAGGGATTTCCTCAGACTAAAAAGAAGAATTTCAGAGTCCTTGGAGGAACCAAGGTCTGTGGGTTCTGCAAGTTGCAAGGGCTTAGGGGATTGGCTCTGTTCAAGCACTAAATATCTTACCAAGCTGACAGAATGAGAGCTTAAGGTCAGAATAGGATGGACTCAAAGGAAATACAGAAATGTGACCACATTTCCTTGTGAATCAAGATTTGTGTGTGTACAAGTGACTGTTGTAGAAACACATTCACAGGATAATCATCTCCTTTGGTGAAGATTAGTTCTGTCCACATATACTGTGAGTTAGGTGGAAAAAGAGATGAGAGGGACATTAATGAGAGCGTTAGGAGTGATTTTAATAATGGTAGCAAACAGAACCATACTTTCACTTACCTAATTCCCCTTTCCATTCATTGCGTGAAAAAATTAGGAGTAAAAAATAGTGACATCAGTAGCATTGTATATACTTAATCTTAAAATATAAGCTGTGCGTTTCTTTAAATTCTAAAAATTTTTTTGTAGATGAGAAGGTCGATAATGAGAAGAATTGCCAAAGTTAGCAAATTTAACTTATCAGATATTGTGGCTGATTATGAAGAAATTGTATCTGCAAGGTACATACTAAAATTATTATTATTTAAGTACAAAATATAAAGCTATAAGATAATACCTTCAAAGTCCTCTAATAAGTTCTCTATTTTTATATTAATTAAGTTAATGTCAAAATGCAATTACAAAGCATAAAATGAAATACAGTGACTTAATTTTTTTTTGTCATTTTAAAATTGCATTTTGGACATAACTATATGATTTGTATTTTCAATTGTGTAATATTTTAGATTTTAACCCTCTCCTTATTGATACTTTTTAGGGCAAGAAAGGAAAGAAGAAAAAAAAAAGAAATACCTTTGTCCCAAATTAGTTTTGCCCTAAGATTTCCCTGTCCCGAGGCTGCTACTGGAAAAGTCATTGCTGGTAGCACCACACACTGAGCCTGTAATCTCTCCCTTTCAAAACGGAATCCTCAGCCATATAAGGGCTCTGTGATCCACAGGCAGCAGTTGGGGGAGCCTTTGGCTGAAGTAACTCAGTTCTCATACTGTCCTGTCTGGGAAACTTAAGGATGGGAGCAGGAATTAGGGATGCTGCGTTTGGGGAAACCGCCCTGGGGCCACTTGCAGATTCTTAGTATTAATAATAAGATTTTAATTGGTGTAGGATGCTGAAGTCTATTTTTTTTGAGGGGGGTGTTCTATTCTAAAATATACCTTGAAGTAATTCTTTCATGGGCACATTTTTTTAATGAAAACTTACTTTTAAAAAATTTTTACTGGGGTAGGGACTTCCCTGGTGGTGCAGTGGTTAAGAATCCGCCTGCCAATGCAGGGGACACAGGTTAGAGCCCTGGTCCGGGAAGATCCCACATGCCGCGGAGCAACTAAGCCCGGGTGCTACAACTACTGAGACCACACGCCACAGCTACTGAAGCCTGTGCGCCTAGGGCCTGTGCTCTGCAACAAGAGAAGCCACTGCAATGAGGAGCCCACGCACTGTTAGAAGAGTAGCCACTGCTCGCCGCAACTAGAGAAAGCCCATGTGCAGCAACGAAGACCCAACACAGCCAAAAATAAATAAGTTTTTAAAAATAAAATTTTTACTGGGGTAGAGTTGATTTACAATGTTGTGTTAGTTGCAGGTGTCCAGCAAAGGGAATCTGTTATACATATACATATGTCGACTCTTTTTTAGACTCTTTTCCCATATAGGCCATTACAGAGTATTGAGTAGAGTTCCCTGTGCTGTACAGCAGGTCCTTATTAGCTATCTATTTTGTATATAGTAGTGTGTGTGTGTCAATGATGAAAATTTATTTTTTTAAACTTTTTATTTTTTATTGGAGTATAGTTGATTAACAATGTTGTGTTAGTTTCAGGTGTACAACAAAGTGATTCAGTTATACATATACATGTATCTATTCTTTTTCAAATTCTTTTCCCAGTCAGATTGTTACAGAATATTGAGCAAAAGTTCCCTGTGCTATACAATAGGTCCTTGTTGGTTATCCATTTTAAATATAGCAGTGTGTACATGTCAATCCCAAACTCCCTAACTATGCCTCCTCCCCTCCCTTCCCCCAGGTAACCGTAAGTTCGTTCTCTAAGTCTGTGAGTCTGTTTCTGTTTTGTAAATAAGTTGATTTGTATCTTTTTTTTTAGATTCTGCATATAAGTGATATCATATGATAGTTCTATTTCTCTGTCTCACTTCACACAGTATGACAATCTCTAGGTCCATCCATGTTACTGCAATGGCATTATTTCATTCTTTTTAATGGTTAACATTCCATTGTATATATGTACCACATCTTCTTTAACCATTCTTCTGTCAGTGGATGTTTAGGTTGCTTCCATGTCTTGGCTATTGTAAACAGCACTGCAATGAACATTGGGATGAATGTATCCTTTTGGACCATGTTTTTCTCCAGGTGTATGCCCAGGAGTTGGGTTGCAGGTTTATATGGTAGCTCTATTTTTAGTTTCTTAAGGAACCTCCATACCATTCTCCATAGTGGCTGCACCAATTTACATTTCCACCAACAGTGTAGGAGGGTTCCCTTCTCTCCACACCCTCTCCAGCGTTTATTGCTTATGGATTTTTTGATGATAGCCATTCTGACTGGTGTGAGGTGATATCTCACTGAGGTTTTGATTTGCATTTCTCTAATAATTAGCAATACTGAACATCTTTTTTTAAAATTAATTTTTATTGGAGTATAGTTGCTTTACAATGTTGTGTTAGTTTCTATGTACGGCAAAATGAAGTGGCTATACATATACACATATCCCATCTTTTTTGGATTTCCTTCCCATTTAGGTCACCACAGTGCATTAAGTAGAGTTCCCTGTGCTATACAGCATATTTTTATTAGTTATCTATTTTATACATAGTATCAATAGTATGTTTGTGTCAATCCCAATCTCCCAATTCCTCCCACTCCTGCTTTCCCCCTTGGTATCCATAGTTTCTTCTCTACATCTGTGTCTCTATGTCTGCTTTGCAAATAAGATCATCCATACCATTTTTCTAGATTCCACATATACATGTTAATATATGATATTTGTTTCTCTCTTTTGACTTAACTTCACTCTGTATGACACTCTCTAGGTCCATCCACATCTCTACAAATGACCCAATTTTGTTCCTTTTTATGGCTGAGTAATATTCCATTGTATATATGTACCACATCTTCTTTATCCATTCCTCTGTTGATGGACATTTAGGTTGCTTCCATGTCCTGGCTATTGTAAATAGTGCTGCTGTGAACATTGGGGTGCATGTGTCTTTTTGAATTATGGTTTTCTCTGGGTATATGCCCAATAGTGGGATTGCTAGGTCATATGGTAGTTCTATTTTTAGTTTTTTAAGGAACCTCCATACTGTTTTCCATAGTGACACTATCAATTTACATTCCCACCAACAGTGCAAGAGGGTTCCCTTTTCTCCACACCCTTTCCAGCATTTATTGTTTGTGGATTTTTTTTAAAGTAAATAAATTATTTATTTATTTTTGGCTGCATTGGGTCTTCGTTGCTGTGCACGGGCTTTCTCTAGTTGGGGCGAGCAGGGGCTACTCTTTGTTGCGGTACGCAGGCTTCTCATTGCGGTGGCTTCCCTTGTTGCAGAGCACGGGCTCTAGGCATGTGGACTTCAGTAGTTGTGGTTCGTGGGCTCTAGAGTGCAGGCTCAGTAGTTGTGGCACACAGGCTTAGCTGCTCCGCGGCATGTGGCATCTTCCCAGCCCAGGGCTCAAACGTGTGTCCCCTGCATTGGCAGGCAGATTCTTAACCACTGTGCCACCAGGGAAGCCCATTTGTGGATTTTTTGATGATAGCCATTCTGACCGATGTGAGGTGATATCTCATTGTAGTTTTGATTTGCATTTCTTTAATAATTAGTGTTGTTGAACATCTTTTCATGTGCCTCTTGGCCATCTGTATGTCTTCTTTGCAGAAATGTCTATTTAGGTATGCTGCCCATTTTTTGATTGGGTTGTTTGTTTTGATGATATTAAGCCACATGAGCTGTTTGTAAATTTTGGAGACTAATCCCTTGTCAGTCACATTATTGGCAAATATTTTCTCCCATTCTGTGGGTTGTCTTTTCATTTTGTTTATGGTTTCCTTTGCTGTGCAAAAGCTTTTGAGTTTAATTAGGCCCCATTTGTTTATGTGTGTTTTTATTTCCATTACTCTGGGAGATGGATTGAAAAAGATATTGCTGTGATTTATGTCAGAGAGTGTTCTGCCTGTGTTTTCCTCTAAGAGTTTTATAGTGTCTGGTCTCATATTTAGGTCTTTAATCCATTTTGAGTTTATTTTTGTGCATGGTGTTAAAGAATGTTCCACTTTCTTTTTTTTTACATGTAGCTGTCCAGTTTTCTCAGCACGGTTTGTTGAAGAGACTTTCTTTCCTCCATTGTATAGTCTTGCCTTCTTTGTCATATTTATAGATTAATTGACCATAGGTGTGTGGGTTTATTTCTGGGCTTTCTATCCTGTTCCATTGATCTATATTTCTACTTTTGTGCCAGTACCATACTGTTTTGATGACTATAGCTTTGTAGTATAGTCTGAAGTCTGTGTTTTATTTTCAGTCTTTGGAGGAAAATAGGTGTGACCATAAAGCTATAATTGCATAGATTTGTGTTGCCAGGGTTGGGAGCACATATAACTAACTCCTATTCAGAACCATGTAGAAAAGTTGAGTATCTAACCACTTTCAAGAGAACGATTCCTAAAAAATGAATAATCCTTTGATATAACATCATGTTTCATGGAATTACCTCTCCACGCCCTTGTTTCTTCTTGGACCATACACCCAAATTACGTGGAGCAATCATATTCTCTCTTAACATAGCATCTCTTCTATGCTCAGAAAAAGATTCTTTCCTCGGGTCTAAGACAACTCTGTCTCCCCTCCACAGTGGAGAGAACATGGTTCAGAATAATGGCCTTATTTATAATAATTAATTTAAAAAATTGATATATTTCAAATTTTAAGTTATCTTGTATCTATGTGATTGATCATTTTTTACTCTTTAGCCAGTTGACACGTGCAGTTTGTAAGCTTCTTGAACGACGAAGAAAGTTAAAGCCTCAGAGGCAAGAAAGGAAAAAAGTGGCAGCACAGACTATCTGTGACGGAGATATTAAGATTCTTGTCAGAATATTGAGGGCTTATAATATTCCTACAAGGAAAGCAATAATTAATAGGTAAGGCAATTGCGCCAATTTTTGGAGTTGCAAAAGATGTCTTAAATGTAAATTTCTATACTGTCTTCTTAATAAAACTTTGCACTTGGGGCTTCCCTGGTGGCGCAGCTGTTGAGAGTCCGCTTGCCGATGCAGGGGACACGGGTTCGTGCCCTGGTCCGGGATGATCCCACATGCCGCGGAGCGACTGGGCCCGTGAGCCATGGCCGCGGAGCCTGCGCGTCCAGAGCCTGTGCTCTGCAACGGGAGAGGCCACAACAGTAAGAGGCCCTCGTAAAAAAAAACAAAAAACAAACAAACAAAAAAAACCTTTGCACTTTATTAATGCTCAATATACAGAAACTAAATGAAAGTTGAAATCTTCATTTGGATAGTCAAACTTACTGTCATTGCTGTGTATTACAAATTTTCAGAAGTTTGAGATGCCCGAAGTACCTTTAACATGTATATTTTTGGGTGCTATATCAAATAAATACCTCCTGTCCCTATTCCCTGTTGTGAAAACTTAAGCTGCTATTGCTAATTACACCGTTCTCTGCCACTGTCCCCACACAGCGTTGGAAGTATATAGACTACAGGAGAGAGTAAGCTCCATTTTGGATTTATCATTTTAGGTGACTTCTACAAAACTCAAGTCTTACCTATCTCTTCTGCAGGCACTCAGTGTGTTTTATTTGCGTTTCTTGGGCAGAGGATATGTAGGGTCAAGGTGGCCAAATTAAGGCATCATGAATATTAAATACTCATGAATATTTAGTATAACCCGAATTTCAAGTGTTCCATATATTTAATCTCATGTATAATTTATGTATTGTGAATATTTAGTGCCCAGGTACCTCAGGAATACTGAGTAACCCTCTCTGTCTACATTTAACACTTATGTGCTCTACTTGCTTATTTTATGTTTACCACATCCCATGAACTCTACATATGAAAAACAAATATTTTGCTTACTAGCTACGAATCTATAGTTAAAACCTCTTAAAGGTTTTGCCTGTGTTTTATATTATAAAATATGACTTTATTTATGATAGAATTGATATTCTCAAAACAAATGCACATTTCAAGGCTGTTTTGTGAAATAAGGACATTATAAAATTACCACCATTTTCTATAATAATCAATTTGTAAAAGAAAGAATATTGTAACACCAAAAATAGGAAGAATATAGTCTCAAAGTGTTACTTGCTCTATTTTTTTCCTTTTGCTGAGGGTCAGTGAAAACTCTGTCACAGACTGGTTCCAATCCATAGTTCAGCATTTAGGAGCTACCCTTTCAGAGTAGTGATTGTCACGTATTTATCTCTAACCACCTATGTTATGAAGATCCAAAGCAAACTCTATAAGATCCAGGGTAGCTGACTTATATACCTCTATAAGCATAAGCAAAAAGCCAGCTACTCTCACCAAAACTAATATTTAATTAAAGTGCCTATCTCTATATTGTTTTTCAGAAGAGCCTTGGATATGCCTACTTATTTGATATCATCCATGTCTCGCCTCAGACATAAAGAAACAATCAAATCCGTAACCTCAGATGAGATCTTAAATGAGGTAAGTATTTAACACTTCTATAAAGTGCCGTTTTGATCATGTTTTCCCTGAATTGCAACTGGCCCCTAACTGGACTATCCATCTAATTCTAGTTTACTCTCCATAACACAGTGAAGGTGCTCTTTATAAAATGTAATTCTAACTATTTCATTCTCTGCTACCCTGCTCTCAGGGTCTGTAGAATAAGGTGCAAGCTCCTTACAATGGTAGCTCCTTAGAATGGCTACCAAACTCTGTAATGGTCTGGTTCTTACATACCAATCAGCCACATTTCTCATCAGCCCACAGCGGTATCATATCATACTACTACTTGTTCTAGAAGGCCTCCGTATATGCCCTTTCCTTTGCCTGGAATGGCCACCATACCTCCATGTTATTGGCCACATGAACTACTATTTAATGTTTCAAAGCTCAAGCCCAAGCAATGTTTTCTCTGTGAAGTTCCCCTTGTCCTCACCCCAGAAAGTTAATCATTCTCTCTCCTGAGTTACTATTATACCTTGAATATATTTCTTACATTTCATTGCAATTATTTGTTTACCTGTTTATTTTCTCCTGATAGACTTAAGATAAAAATCCTTAAGGATTTCCATTTATTTTTGGATCCTAGCAAAGTAGTACCTGATATTGAATAGGTTGAAGAAATGTTAATTGAATGAATGAATGAATAATGGTTGTTTGAAAAACTGGAAAAAGTAAGCCATCCAGTTATCAGCCAGTAACTAATTTCTACCTTTTATCAGCTATATAAAATATTACAAAAATCTAGTCGTGTTAATTATGTGTTTCAGGATACTGTGCACCCCTTTGTGGAAGTTTCCTTTCAGCACACTGTGTACCAAACCAGTGTTGCAAGTGGATCTCATCCATGCTGGAATGAAGAAATTAAAGTAGATTTTATGTAAGTTGGAGTCCATTTTTCCTCAGCTTCTAAAATAGAACAGTAACAAAATTATTTTCTTGAGCTGTTTATTGAAAATAATGATGGATATAGGCTTAGGTTTTTAAATTATGAAGTATTTCTTTTAATATATATAATGTATATGTAAATGTAAGTTCTGAGGAAAAATGATAAAATGAATACCTGTGTATCTACCATCTAGCTTAAAAAATGGAGTATTAGCAATATTTTTGAAGGCTCCACTGTGCCAATAACTATTTGTATCCCCTTTCTTTCTCCCCAGAGGTAACAACCATGAATTTGTTTATCATTCCCTCTCTTTATGACTTTAAATCATAGGTATTTATCCCTAGCTATGTTTTGTTTACTTGTGGATGTTTTCCAACTTTATGTAAATTGAATGATCTTTTGCAATCTGTTTCTTTACTCTTATTTTGAGAGATTTATCTATATTCATACTTGTAACTATTCCTTCCTTCCTTTATTTTCACTTCTGTATAGTATTCCACTGTATTAAAATGCCATAATTTATTTATACTTTATCCTGTTGATGCAGATTTGCCTGGTTTTAATGTTTTGCTATTGTAAATAGTATTGCTCTGAACATTCTTGTACTTGTCATCTGGAACACACATGTAAGAGTTTCTTTTTAAGACAGTAGTTCTCAAAGTATTTTGTGCACTGAAATCACCTGTACAGATTCTTTAAACAGATTGCTGGGCCCAAATCCATAGTTTCTAGTTCAGTAGCTCTGATACATAATTCCATTTCTAACAAGTTCCCAGGTGTTGCTGATGCTCCTAGTCAGGGGACACATTGAGACCCTTTACTCTAGGATCTGTATCCAGGAGTGGAATTGCTTCAACTTTACTAGCTAATGCCAAAGTTTTTTCTAAAGTGATTGTGCCAATACATACTCCCAACAGCGATATAAAAGTTCCTGTTGTGCCACATCTTCAATAATATTTTGTATTTTTAAAATTAATTTTTCTAATACGGTGGATCTAAAGTGGTATTCTTATTGTGGTTTAATTTACATTCCTGGATTTCTAATGAGATTGAGTTTCTTTTTTTTTTCCATTTTAAACAAATCGATAGGCTTTAATTTTTAGAGCAGTTTAGGTTCACAGTAAAACTGAGCAGAAAGCACAGAGTTCTTATACATCCTCTCCCTACAACACGCACACACAGCCTCCCTAAAGTGTCAGTGTGGTACATTTGTTACAATCAATGGACCAATGTTGACACATTATCAAAGTCCACAATTTACATTAGGGTTCACTCTTTGTGTTGTACATTCTATGGGTTTTGACAAATGTATAATGACATGTATCCACCACTGTAGTATCATACAGCATAGTTCCACTGCCCTAAAAATGCCCTGTGCTTCACCCATTTATCTGTTCATCCTTCCCCTGGAACCTCTGGCAACCACTGATCCTTTCACTGCCACCATAGTTTTACCTTTTCCAGAGTGTCATTGCATTTCAGGGTTCTCCATAAAAGCAGAACTAACAGGGTGTGTGTGTGTGTGTGTGTGTGTGTGTGTGTGTGTGTGTGTCTGTTTGACTCTCTTTACCCTCTGTAATAGGGGTGTGCCTCATCCAATTGGTTGAAGGCTTAACAGAAAGAAGACCTACCCCACTTAGGAAGATGGAATTCTGCCAGCACACTGGCTTCAGACTTGAACTGCAGCTCTCCCCTGGGCTTCCAGGCTGCCAGCTTACCCTGCAGATTTTGGGCTTGCCTTCCCCCACAATCACGTGAGCCACTGTTACAGAGGGTAGTTTGCCTTACTCAACATCTACTGACTTTTTTAATGTGGAAAGAACACTTAACATGACATCTACCCTTTGAACAAATTTTTAAGTGTGCAATATACTACTGCTGAATGTAGGTAAAAGGTTGTACAGCAGATCTAGAGCTTATTCATCTTGCTTCCCTGAAGTTTTATGCCTTGTTGATTAGTAACTTCCCATTTCCCCCTTCCCCCAGCCCCTGGCGACCACCATTCTGCTCTTTGACTCTATGAATTTGACTACTTTAGATGCCACATATAGGTGGAATCATGCAGTCTTTTTATGACTGGTTTATTTCATTTAGTATAATGTCCTCAAGATTCATCCATGTTGCCACATATTGCAGAATTTCCTTCTTTTTAAAGGGTGAGCAGTATTCCATATATATACCACATTTTCTTTATCCATTCATCTGTCAACAGACATTTAGCATGCTTCCATACTGTTGTGAATAGTGCTGCAATGAACATAAGAGTGCTAACATCTCTTTGATATTCTGATTCAGTTCTTTTGGATAAATACCTAGAAATGGGATTGCTAGATCATATGGTATCAGTTCTATTTTTAATTTTTTGAGGAACCTGCATAACGTTTTCCATAGCAGCTGCACCATTTTACATTCCCACCAACTGTGTGCAGGAGTTCCAATTTTACACACCTTCACCAGCACTTGTTACTTTATTTTATTTTTTTTGATAATAGCCATCCTAACAATTGTGAAGTGATATCTCATTGTAGCTTTGAATTTCCCTGATTATTACTGAGTGTTTTATTATTAGCAATTTTGAGCATTTTTTCATATATCTATTAGCCATTTGTATGTCATTTTTGGAAAATGTCCATTCAAGTTTTAGTACATTTTAAAATCAGATTATTAGCTTTTTTACTATTCAGTTGTATGAGCTCTTTATGTATGTTGGAGATGAACCCCCTTATAATATATATGGTTTGCAAATATTTTCTCCCATTCCATAAGTTGACCTTGTACTCTGACGATTATTTCCTTTGCTGTGCAGAAGGTTTACAGTTTGATATAGTTCCACTTTTTTATTTTTGCTTTTGTTGCTGTGCTTTGGTATCATGTCCATGAAATTATTGCCACAACCTATGTCATGAAACTTTTCCCCTGTATTTTCTTCTAGAAGCTTTATAGTTTCAGGTCTTACATTTTAAATATTTAATTCATTTTGAGTTGAATTTTGTGTATGGTATAAGATAAAGATCAAATTTGATTCTTTTTTTTATTAACATCTTTATTGGAGTATAATTGCTTTACAATGGTGTGTTAGTTTCTGCTTTATAACAAAGTGAATCAGCTATACCTATGCATACATCCCCATATCTCCTCCCTCAAATTTGATCCTTTTGCACATAGTTTTACCAACACCATTTGTTGAAGAGATTGTCCTTTCTTCATTGAGTAGTCTTGGCACCCTTGTCAAAGATCGGTTGACCTGACATAGATGCAAGGATTTATATCTAGGCTCTCTATTCTGTACCACTGGTCTATATGTCAGTTTTTAGGCCAGACTGTTTCGATTACTGTAACTTCGTAATATATGCATTTTGAAATCTGGACGTGGGATCTCCGGCTCTTTTTTTCCTCAGGTTCATATTTGATGCTAAAGCTATATAAATAGGCTTTTGTAATTGAAAATAAAGTGCACTGATCAAGACAGATTTAAAATGTAGAACTTAAAATTTTTCTCTAAACTCAATTAGCAATTTTCAGTTGTTACTTCCTATACATCTTTAGCTCTCCCTCGGGTAAAAGGAATATAAAGAACTGTCAACTACATCTGTTATCAAAGTCCTGTCTCTTTTCCTGGCACCCTTACCCCCTTCTCTTGCCAATCTTGTTCAGCTCCCTCAATTTCTGCAGATTATATGGTTCTTGACTATTTGCATGGTTTCTTGATGGCATCCCTCTGACTTTTTTTTAACATCTTTGTAATTGCTTTACAATGCTGTGTTAGTTTCTGCTTTATAACAAAGTGAATCAGCTATACATATACATCTATCCCCATATCTCTTCCCTCTTGCGTCTCCCTCCCTCCCACCCTCCCTATCCCACCCCTCTAGGTGGTCACAAAGCACCGAGCTGATCTCCCTGTGCTATGCGGCTGCTTCCCACTAGCTATCGATTTTACATTTAGTAGTGTATATATGTCCATGCCACTCTCTCACTTTGTCTCAGCTTACTCTTCCCCGTCCCCGTGTCCTCAAGTCCATTCTCTAGTAGGTCTGCGTCTTTATTCCCGTCCTGCACCTAGGTTCTTCATAACTTTTTTTTTTTTAGATTCCATATATATGTGTTAGCATATGGTATTTGTTTTTCTCTTTCTGACTTACTTCACTCTGTATGACAGACTCTAGGTCCATCCACCTCACTACAAATAACTCAATTTCGTTTCTTTTTATGGCTGAGTAATATTCCATTGTATATATGTGCCACATCTTCTTTATCCATTCATCTGTCGATGGACACTTAGGTTGCTTCCACACCCTGGCTATTGTAAGTAGTTCTGCAATGAACATTGGGGTGCATGTATCTTTTTGAATTAGAGTTTTCTATGGGTATATGCCCAGGAGTGGGATTGCTAGATCATTTGATAGTTCTATTTTTAGTTTTTTAAGGAACCTCCATACTGTTCTCCATAGTGGTTGTACCAATTTACAGTCCCACCAACAGTGCAAGAGGGTTCCCTTTTCTCCACACCCTCTCCAGCATTTATTGTTTGTATATATTTTGATACTGGCTTTAATGAAAGGTAGCAGTTGTCCTGAAAGCACATAGATTTTCTTATCTTATACTTTATAAAAGAAAATAATGCAGGCAATTTTATAGTCCTTTATGAATAATGCTTTTATAAAATCAATTAAGCATTTAAATATGTTTTTCTTATTTACAGCTTACCAGGACATGATTATAGCATCTCAAGCTTATCTAAAATAAAAGATAATATATATATCAACATTTTTGATGAAATGATTATTGAAAAACATGAGGTAAAGTAAAATAATTATAATAATCAATGTTGAAATAATTATAAGTTCAGACTGAATGAAGTCTATTAACATATTTGTAAATTTGGTTTTAGATACAGTATCTATTTCCAACATTTTCTAAAAAGGATGTGGGGCAACTTGAAATAAAATCAGACATATGACAAGTCAATTCAAAAATAACAGGGATCGGGCTTCCCTGGTGGCGCAGTGGTTGAGAGTCTGCCTGCCGATGCAGGGGATGCAGGTTCGTGCCCCAGTCCGGGAGGATCCCACATGCCGTGGAGCGGCTGGGCCCGTGAGCCATGGCCGCTGAGCCTGCGCGTCTGGAGCCTGTGCTCCGCAACGGGAGAGGCCACAACAGTGAGAGGCCCGGGTACCGCAAAAAAAAAAAAGTAAAAGACCCAAAATAACAGGGATCATAAACCACATATAAGAGGAGGAGAGATAAATATACCAAGAATTTGGGAAAAGTAGATTTCTGCAATTGAACGTTACATTTACATGTGAACTTCCTGGTAGCCAAGCTTTAGCGTATTTTTAAAGTTTGCTGCACTAAGCATATTTACTATGATAAAGGTATATACATTAAGATGCTTTACATTGTTTACTGACATGTAGCAAGATATCCAAAAGCAGTGGTTATGAACTGAAGGCAGGAATCTGGGGTATTGGCAGCTTTTTTCAAACTTCGGCCCTTCCCCAGATTCAGGCAAATAGCAACAACAATCCCAGGGCTTGGAAATTGAATACCATGGCTTTCTTGATATTCTTAACAGTTGCATATGATCACTAGAATCTCAAAAGTGTCTATTATGACCCTGGACTCCCTGGCATTTGTTCTTCTTAGAAGAGAGAGATCAGATTAAAATGGGAGCCAGAATATACTGCATTTTCTTTTGCAAGGTTTTTACATTTCTAACCTGGACTATCTACAAGTGGACCATCAGATGAATTTTCTAAGGAACGGGCCATGGCAACCTAACTGATACCATTATTTCTTGGCAGTAAGCCAACATGATCCATAATTACGGCAGCAAGGCAAAGGTGGATGGTGGAAAGGTAAAAAATGAAACAGAAAGCAAGATAGTGTGTGAGGAAAACTACAATGAATTGTCCTTTTTATCTCCCTTCTTTTATCTTATCTCCTTACTTCAGACCAGATAATAGTGTATAACTTTAATATTAACAGAAATTCTGAGTTTATGGATTTAAAAGAAGTCACATTAACATAAATAATCTAAGGTCTTACTCTTGTTCCACCCTCTACTCACAGAACCTCCACCAGTCCCACTGAAAATTTTCTGGAAGCCTCCAAGTAGTCCTCATATATGTGCCTAAACATGACTGTTAGCTATAGTCATCCTTCACATTTCGACAGTGTGTGTGTTCTTTTGATTCAGGCTCCACAGCTCTCAAAGCCACTTAAAAGAATCTCACCACCACCACTGTTGACATTGCCCCTGATTAGGGTGCCATCATGTGTGCCAAGGGTATTATCTCCCCAATTATCCTTGAGCCCAAAGCTATGAAACTTCAGAATACCCAAGAGGCACTGGATTCTGCACAAACATGGGAAGAATGGCCCTATTTTCTCTGAATTCATACTACATATTATATATCTAGATCTTAAAGCAATAGTATTGGTACACAAAATCTCACAGTAGAAGAGCTTCTCCAGCCGCCAACCCTAATCATCAGGGGCCAAACCCAGGACAAGGGACCTAGTGGGGTACAGTGCACACCAACCCTTTCCATGTCCTCATTGTCCTTTCTCTTCGCCTTGATTCCTAAACTCAGCCCAACTGCTCTCACCTTCCCTAATTACAAACAAAAAACTTCAGTGGATATAAGTACATACTAGTGCTAAAGAGAGGGATGTTGCCTATACTAGTCTTAAACGAGCAACATGCCTGTTGCAAGAGCTATTCTCTAACACCTTTCCTATATTCCCCCATTTCAGCACTTTTGTTGATGAAGTGAAAAATTTAAATGGCTAAAAATGGAGTGAATCATAGAGTACTGCCAGTGGGGTTGGTCGTGGTGGTAAATGCCAAACTCATTTATGTCTAGTCCCTGCTTCTCTTACTACACATACTTTCTCTAATTTAAAAAATAGGATTATTGAGGCATAATTAGCATATAATAAACTTCACATAATTAAAGTGTATACTTTGACAAGTTTTTTTTGGGCCTCTCACTGTTGTGGCCTCTCCCGTTGCGGGGCACAGGCTCCGGACACGCAGGCTCAGCGGCCATGGCTCACGGGCCTAGCCGCTCCGCGGCATGTGGGATCCTCCCGGACCGGGGCACGAACCCGTGTCCCCTGCATCGGCAGGCGGACTCTCAACCACTGTGCCACCAGGGAAGCCCCTTTGACAAGTTTTGACGTATATATACCCATGAAACCATCATCAAAGTCAAGATAATGAACATATCCACCACTCTCAAAGGTTTTCCCCTGTCCTGTTAGAATACCTCCCTCCTTCCTTTCCTTCCTCCCACCCCAGGCAACCACTGATCTGCTTTCTGTAACTATAGTTTACATTTTCTGGAATTGTATAAAAATAGCATCATACAGCATGCACTTTTTTCCCCTTGGTCTGGCAACTTTCACAGAAAAATTATTTTGAGATGTGTCTCAGTTGTTTTATTTATCAACTAGTTCATTAATTTTTACTGTATAGTGGTAGTCTATTGAACACATACATTCTGTTGTATGTTTAAATATTCAGCTGTTGATGGATATTTGGGTTTTCTTTGGGGGTGGCTATTATAAATAAAGCTGCTATGAGCATTTGTGTATAAGTCCTTGTATGGACAAATGCTTTAATTTCTCTTGGGCAAATACATAGGAGTGAAATGGCTGGATCATATGGTAAGTAGACATTTAAGAAACTGCTAAACTGTTTTTCCAAAGTGACTGTACCATTTTTTACTTCCACCAGCAATGTATGAGACTTCTAGTTCTTTCACAGTCTTACAGACAAGAGGTCAGACTTAAAAATTTTAGCCACTCTAGTAACCGTGCGGTTGTATCTCATTGTAGTTTTAATTTGTATTTCCTAATGACTAATGATGGCGAGCACTTTTCCATGTATTTATTTGCTATCTGAATATCTTCTTTGGTGAAGTGTCTGTCCAAATCTTTTGTCTATTTTTCAAATTGGGTTATTTGTTTTCTTATTATTCAGTTCTGAGGATTCTTTACATATTCTGTATACAAATCCTTTATCAGATATATGATTTACAAATATTTTCTCCCGGTACATAGCTTGTCTTTTCATTTTCTCAACAGTGCCTTTTGAAGAGCAAAGTTTTAAGTTTTGATGTCAAATTTATCAACTTGCTTTTGGTGTCATATTTTTTAGCTCTGTTTTTGCTTTATATATTTTGTAACTCTTTATTAGGTGCATGTACTTTTTTTAATTTTTGAATTTTATTTTATTTATTTATTTATACAGCAGGTTCTTATTAGTCATCAATTTTATACACATCAGTGTATATATGTATATATGTCAATCCCAATAGCCCAATTCATCCCACCCCACCCCACTCCGCCACTTTCCCCCCTTGGTGTCCATACATTTGTTCTCTACATCTGTGTCTCTATTGCTGCCCTGCAAACTGGTTCATCTGTACCATTTTTCTAGGTTCCACATATATGCCTTAATATACGATATTTGTTTTTCTCTTTCTGACTTACTTCACTCTGTATGACAGTCTCTAGATCCATCCACGTCTCAACAAATGACCCAGTTTCATTCCTTTTTATGGCTGAGTAATATTCCGTTGTACGCATGTACCACATCTTCTTTATCCATTCGTCTGTTGATGGGCATTTAGGTTGCTTCCATGACCTGGCTATTGTAAATAGTGCTGCAATGAACATTGGGGTGCATGTGTCTTTTTGAATTATGGTTTTCTCTGGGTATATGCCCAGTAGTGGGATTGCTGGATCATATGGTAATTCTATTTTTAGTTTTTTAAGGAACCTCCATACTGTTCTCCACAGTGGCTGTAGCAATTTACATTCCCACCAACAGTGCAAGAGGGTTCCCTTTCCTCCACACCCTCTCCAGCATTTGTTGGTTGTAGATTTTCTGATGATGCCCATTCTAACTGGTGTGAGGTGATACCTCATTGTAGTTTTGATTTGCATTTCTCTAATAATTAGTGATGTTGAGCAGCTTTTCATGTGCTTCTTGGCCATCTGTATGTCTTCTTTGGAGAAATGTCTATTTAGGTCTTCTGCCCATTTTTGGATTGGGTTGTTTGTTTTTTTAAATTGAGCTGCATGAGCTGTTTATATATTTTGGAGACTAATCGTTTGTCTGTTGATTCATTTGCAAATATTTTCTCCCATTCTGAGGGTTGTCTTTTCGTCTTGTTTATAGTTTCCTTTGTTGTGCAAAAGCTTTTAAGTTTCATTAGGTCCCATTTGTTTATTTTTGTTTTTATTTCCATTACTCTAGGAGGTGGGTCAAAAAAGATCTTGCTGTGATTTACGTCAAAGAGTGTTCTTCCTATGTTTTCCTCTAAGTGTTTTATAGTGTCCGGTCTTACATTTAGGTCTTTAATCCATTTTGAGTTTATTTTTGTGTATGGTGTTAGGTTTTATTATATAATCTTTATCACAGTCTATCTTTATATAATATTATGCCACTTCATATATAGTGTAAGAACAGGATATTACTATACTTCCATTTCCCCTCCTGTGCTTTGTGTTAGTGTTATCATACATTTTCCTTATATGTATGTCATAAACTCCACAACAGGTCATTATTATTGCTTTAAATAGTCAATTATCTTTTAAAGAAATTTTTTAAACGGAGAAAAAAAATCTTTTCTATTTACTCTTTGGCTTCTTTTTAAAAAGGAAGAGAATTTTTTATACTTACCTACATGTTTGTGTGAAATTATCCATCACATGATATAGAATGAGTAATAGAAAAATTATTTATTTTAATAGGATCACAGTTTCAAGAGCTGCAGTGGTCATTCATATATAAGAAAGAATTGGCTTGGATCCATTGTCTTCCCTTTCTCTGCTCTCCTGCAACAATCTGAGGTAATAGAAGATGATTCTTTGCTAATTATTCTGAATTTTTGTCTCTGGCTAATAGAAATACCTGTGTCTTTGAGTCAGATTCTGACTGGCAGGTTGATAAGTCAGTCAAAATGATCCTGTATTCGACTGCCCCATGGGTGTTGGAGTGTTTGAAGGTTTTAGCTGTCTCTGGAATAGGAGACACCCACAAATTTATTTCATATATTTTTAGAGTGTTTGTTGATGAAGAAAAGGACAGGTAGCCTTAGGTCTTAAAGCAACATTCATATTTGCTCATAATAGTTTTGTAAGACCAGATTCATACATGTTCTGCTTAGTGACATTGCTTTGTAACCATGGGTTCCAGGAGTTTCAGCTCCTCAAACACTGTTTATTGGTAATGGTGAGACTGATGATTAGCATCTGTGGCACCCCCAGAGGGCTCTGCTGTTGGGTTTTGCAGCAAGAAAATGCCTACGTGGCCAGCAAAATATAAAAACCCCATTCTAGATTTCATTTGGGGCCCTGTTGCTTACAGAGACATGCCAGTTACAGATGATTCAGAAACGAATTTTCTACCTCAAGGAGTTCACTGTCTGTAGAAGAAAACAACCATTTCAGTACAACATGGTAATGCTGTAGGGCTTTGATAGGGGCATGAGATTGGTACTATGAGAACACTGAGTAAGGGGTACCCTACCCTTCCTGGTTTGGAGGGGGAAGCAAGGGGGTGTTCAGAGGGGTTCGGGGTAGGTAAGAAGGGAATGAGGAGGAGGATGAAAGATCAGGGGAATATTTACAGAGGAGATAACTTTTAATCAAGTCCCTAAAGATGCATTTATCAAGCACACAAAGTCATTTGACTCAGAAGGATTTATGTGTCTATCAGTTAGTACTGTATTCAGTCATATGCAACAGAAAACCTGACTAACAGTGGCTGATGTAAGAGGTCTATTTATCTCACAAAAAAGAAGTCTAGATGCCAGTGCATCTGCTCAAGAATATCATCAAGGATCCAAAGCTACTTTTGTCTTTCTGTTCTACTCTCCTCATCATGTGACTTTCATCCTCATAATTGCACCTCCAGCCTCATACTCATGCTGCAGACAGGAGGTGGGGTGAAGCAAGAAGGGGCAGTGCCTGTATCAGGAAAACAGACACTTCCCCAGAAAACCTCTCAGACTTCTTGCACTTTACTTATGTGACTTGGTCACTACATGGCTGTCATGTTACCACCTAAAACTGTTGGTACGAAAGGAGAAGAGAATGGAGGAGAATAGAAACGTCTGCGTATTATGCAATCACAGGATGTCATGAGGGAGCACGTTGAAAATACAAGTGCTGCAAATAAAGAGCAACGGAGATTTTAAATTGTTGGAGGTATAGGGCTTCCTATGTTTGTAAATCCCTGCAGGTGTTTCTCAGTCTCAGGCCAGATCCTAGGATAGAGAAGTAGTTAAGAATGTGAGCTTCAAAAGGGGGACCAACCAGGCTTCCCTGGTGGCGCAGTGGTTGAGAGTCCGCCTGCCTGCCGATGCAGGGGACACGGGTTCGTGCCCCAGTCTGGGAAGATCCCACATGCCGCGGAGCAGCTGGGCCCTTGAGCCATGGCCGCTGAGCCTGCGCGTCCGGAGCCTGTTGCTCCGCAGCGGGAGAGGCCACAACAGTGAGAGGCCCGCGTACCGCAAAAAAAAAAGTGGACCAACCTGGGTTGTAATCCTGGCTCTACTACTCATTAGTTTTGTGATCTTGCACAAATTACTTACATGCTCTGAGCCCCAGTTTCCTTATCTATAAAATGGAGATAAGAGCGGTGTCTACCTTATTGAATAATATGATCTATATCAAGCACTTGGCAGAATGCCTTGTACATAGTAAGTGCTCAATAACTATTAGTTATATTAGTATTATTATTAGTTATTATTGTAAGTTATCTCCTCCCAAACATGCGCGTGCACACACACACACACACACACACACACACACACACAAGATCCCTCCTCCAGTGGACTTTGGGTCATCCTTCCTGCTGTTATGTTTTTTTTCCTCTTTCCAGACCCAATGCAAAATGTATCATGGTCTTTTAGCATTTTCTCTGAGCTTAAATTAGATCTTCTAAGAGCTTTTATCACTCTGGTCCATTAACTTGCTTCATTGTTTCATCACTTTCTTACTTCTGCCTTCTCCACGTACTACATATTAGACAGGGACCCAGGGTGTCAAGGTTGCCTGTGAACAAATCATCATGGAGAACCTTACCATCCTTGTGCAAGTACCTATTCGTAGAATCAGCATGAACCCATGCAAGCCTGTTTCCTGCAATGGAGAAGACTGAACTGAGCTATACTATATTTGACTGATGTTTATTTTCATCATGCAGAACCCATTATACTGATATACTCTTTCAGATTAGTGGAACATTTCAAGTAAATATTCCACCAGTTTTGCTTGGGTATACTTGGAGTGAGACTTATGTGTCTCCTAAAGAAGATTATAATGGACAGAACTTAAAAGAATGTACCTTCTTAAATATTTTTGCTACTATTGAACCTCAAATATCATTTGCCATCTGTCATCCAGAACTAAACAAGGTAGGTTTTACAATGAATTATTCTCATATATACTATCAAAGAAGTGTTAATTTCAAAGCTGACAAAAATGAATGTTGGCTCTTGATATTTTCCTGTGGAGACAATATAGTACAATGTTGAAATATTTTAAACTTGATTCTAGTTTTCAGGTCAAATAGATGTTTTGGAGAGAGCACAGAATTTTAAAAAAAATTGTAAGGCATTATTTCCTGAACGAAGAATCACAACTACTGTTTTTAATGATGAAGGGGTACAGATCTTAGTAACAAGATATATCAAGGCATTGAATCCGCCTCAACAACTCCTGGATATATTTCTTCATGATTCTAATGCAACACTTGTAAGTTATATTTATTTTAGTAGCTTTATTGTGATATTCGTATACCATACAATTTGCCCTTCCAAAGCATATAATTCAATGGCTTTTAGTATATACACGGAGTTGTGCAACCATCACCACAGTAAATTTTAGAACATTTTGATCACTCCAAATTTATATTTATTTTAACTTGTTTACTTTTTATTATTAGCTTTGAGTATAACTTTCTTATTAAAATTACTTTACCTTCAGAGACAGCTTCCTGAGAGAGAAACCATCTATGTTGCAATGTGTCCTCTTGAGCACCAGATGGAAGAAAACATTTCTTCCTGATCCCCTTCACTTCTGCCCACTTGTACTAGAGAGTCACTGTTGCCACACCAGTTCACGTGACCATATCAGCTTCACAACTTTTCTGTCAAACTTTGAAAAATGACACAGAAAAATTCCTTTGACTTCCAGGCAAAATTAAAAGTTATGTTTCTAAAGGAGTTGTGCCCTTCTAAGGATTGCTTCTTGTTGTATGTGGGAGTGAAGAAACTATGTTTTTTTGTTTTATTTATTTTTGGCTGCCTCGGGTCTTCATTACTGCACACAGGCTTCCTCTAGTTGCGGCGAGCGGGGGCCACTCTTCATTGCGGTGTGTGGGCTTCTCATTGCGGTGGCTTCTCTTGTTGCAAAGCACGGCCTCTAGGAGCGCAGGCTTCAGTAGTTGCAGCACGTGGGCTCAGTAGTTGTGGCGCACGGGCTCAGTTGTTCTGCAGCATGTGGGATCTTCCCGGACCAAGGATCAAACCCGTGTCCCCTGCATTGGCAGGCGGATTCTTAACCACTGTGCCACCAGGGAAGTCCAACTATGTTACGTTTTGCTCTGTAAACCGCCAACATAACACTTCCCACCCCATCCTTATGTGGCTTTATGCATATCTGTTATTTACCAGCTGACAAAAGAGACGTGTACCTGTATTCATTATGGACTCAGAAGAGAATGTAGCTTCTTCCACTTTGAGAAACGAAAATGTGAAATCAGAGATCTAGTCTCCCGTTGAAGAAAAAAATAAGCTTTGCAGACACCTTTACTTTATAAGGTTGGAACAGCAGCACCATCCATGAAATACAAACCACAAATTTTACTGTTTCTGAAGTTCCTATATTGTTATTAATTTTGGTCTTAAGTTGATAGATTCCACAGAAGGTGATAAGTATCTTTTACCTCTCCCTCCATTAGAAAATTAGGTTAATAATGGATTTCTTGATCAAGAGCATCACCACTTACTAAAACGTACATGGAGAGAATAATCAATAAACAGGCTTTCTAGGATCTTTTTTTTTTAAGTCTTCTGCAACATTTATTGATAAACAAGAAAGGGGTTTTATTTACAGTTTTAAAGCTCTTTTTTGTCACTATTATTAGTAATTTTCTATCTATGTATGGTAATAACCAGTTTTAAAAACACTTTATGATTTAAGACTTTAAATCATAACATGTCTGTTTAGCTGGTTAGTTCTCCCCTATACTTCTAAAAGGGAAATTGTACAGTGCAAGAGTCATTCATTGGGGTTAGATTTATTAATCTAGTTACCTACTAGTTTGACATCTTAGGAAGGAGGTAATTGGTTTTTTTAATGATGGATAAACTTGTGCTGGTGTTTTGGATCTTATGATGCTGAGCATGTTCTGCACTGGTGCTAATGTTTAACATAATTTTATATTTACAAACAAACATACCTGCTACCCAGAGGCAAGTATTAATTTAGTCCATATGGACTACCGACCCCTCTTGAGACTGCAACATACATACTCCTAAACACACTCATACATAGTGTGTTTAGACTTTAAAGTATCTTAACCCATTTCTGGACACGAATGTGTTATAAACCTCCTGATTTGTAGCAACATATAAAAAAACACTGCTATTAAAAACACTTCACAAGTCATTGTCAGCCATTGCTGGCATTCTGTCACTAGAGAATACACAGCAATATCTGGTATCTTGCAAGCTTTCAAGATAGCCTGGTTTTTAAAAGTTGGTCCATTAGTTGTATCTGATGGATGTAAATTTGCCTTCTAGTTCACTTTGTGTCAAGAGCTAAAACTGTGAACTTTCTCTTATTGGTGGGTAATAACTGAAAATAAAGATTTTATTTTCATGAAAAAAAAGAAAAAATAAGCTTTGATTAAAGGGCATCTATGAAAAATCATTTACACCTTTTATTTATTCAGGCTTGATTGAGTCAATTGGCTCTCCTCAGAAAATTTGTATTATTTCCCAGTATAAAGCTCTTACCTGGATTCTTTAAGCTAAAATCAAAAGTCCTAGTTTAGATCACCTTTTGCCACACTCTGCTTTTCCATTACGTGTTTCTTCTTGCCTGTTTCCTGACACCGAAAGTCCAAGGAGATAATAATGCTCTCAGATTTCTTTCAAGGACAATCTTTGCCTTTTTAAAAAAGCATAAATCCTAGCTCCTTTGCTTATCAAGGATTGTGAACCATGTTTAATTAATTGCATGAAGTCAGAAAGGTGACCAGTGTAGGAAGTCATAATAGTGCATAAATGGTAGCTATTGTAAATCAGTGAAAATGTTGGTGACCTTTCTGTGTTAGCTCATTGTTTATTTGTATTCCTTTCTTCTTTCCTACTCTAGTCCGAGTCCTTATCTCCAGCCCTATAGGGGGAACACTCCACAATAGACCTTCTGTTGTTGGAGAAAGTCGGCTGCACCAATAACTTCTTGCTGCAGCAACTTATAACTAGTTTTATTTTATTAATAAAAATATTTCTGCTCGATTTTGAACCTAAAAGTAAATCAAACTTTTGCTATTCTTCAACATCTTTTTTCATTTTTTAAACAGTTATACTTTAAAGTATACATGTAATGTATTGTGTTTAAATTTTTTACTTATTACAATGAAATGTACTGGTTAGCATGCATGCTCTGAAGTCACGCTAACTTGGGCTCATTCCCAGAGACCCATAAATTGTGTTAGTGTGTGACCCTGAGCAAGTTACCTTAGCACTCTAAGCTTGTTTCTTCTTTTGTAAAATAAAATTAATAATAGTGTGTACTTCATAGGCTTGTAGGATACACTAAATATGATGACAGTGCATGTAAAGCACTGTGCTTGGTGACAGGCATATAGTATGCTCTCAGTAACTGTTAGTTAATATTATTTTAGGACCTCGTTGCTCGCTTTGTATCTTTGATTCCTATTATGCCTGATACACTGGACGAAAATGATGGTTTTGATATATGGATGACATCAGAGGTAACAAATTACATTTTATAATTTAAATGTATAGTATTTCTTACTTGCTTTTCTTTTAAAAGAAACTTTTTAAAAATATTATGCACTTATGTAGTAATTTGCTTCGTGCAATGTGAAGGCAATTGATAATTTAATACAGCATTTTCAGCTCTATAACCATCCGTAAAAATAATTCTTAAAGACCAAAATTCTTATTCAACATTTTAAGTAGCTCATAATATTGAGATTCAACGGGAATCCCAGGAGTACAATATTATGACATTCTCCAGAGAGAAATATGGCTTGTTCACTGTAGACGTGGTCAGACCCTGAAGTCTAGCAGAAATACCACCACTTCCCAGAAGCTTTCCCCAGTTTTCCCACATCTGAATGAAGAGCTTGTATAGCAGTGCTCTTCCTTGGCACTTGGATTAAAATTGTCTTTAGTCTGATTTCCAAGTAAAATACAGGCCCCATGCAATATTTGGGACATATTTATACTAAAAAACTACTTGTTTATCTGAAATTCAAATTGAACTAGGCATCCTATTCCCCGCCCCCCTCCTAATTAGAGCACATTTTCCATTCCACCTTAAATTATATTTAGTTGCTTATATACTGGCCCTATACCCACACACTGTACATATACATCCCAAGTTTAATCTCCTTGAATGATAAGGAAGATTTGATTCTTATTTATTTTTATATTCGTCACTTGTACGTACTTTAAATTTAGCAGGTATTCAATATTTTTAATGGAAGATACCAGCATGATGGGATCCTAAGAGAAGGACACTCTCCATCTGGAACTGATAGTCCTGGCACTTATCTAGAATGTTTTAGAGGTTAGATTTTTTAGCTGAAATGGACTTAGCGGGCACAGGACTAACTTAATAGGTCAGCTACCCTGCCTTCTGCTAAGTGGGAGTAAGAGAGATACAAGCACGTGGTTTGTTTCGGGACCCAGTGATTCAAATCTGGTAAAACTCAAAGAGGTGTCAGTTAACTCTAGATTCTTCTTAGACTCTTCAAACTAATCAGAATGTGTTCAGGGGTATTATGATCCCGCAGAACATTGAAAGATAGCCTCTAAAGTAGCTAAAAATAACCATAAAATAACCATTCAGGCAAATACTAGTGCTCCCGAGTGCCCTCCAATCCAAACAATACCCATAATCCACAGGTTACCACAGTCATAGGCTTCCTCTTGGCTAATGTCTTCCCATTGACATGAACTGTTTGGACTTGGGATACCCATGAGTGAATGACTAATTAGATTGTCACAAGACAAGAGTTATTTCTCCTACCCAACGTACAGTCTTGGAGTCAAACAAACCTTGGTTCAAATCCTACTTCAACCATCTGATAGCTGTGTGACCTAAGATAAGTTATTTAGCTGCTTTGGACCTCAGTTTCCTCATCTGTGTCATACAGGGGTTTTGAAAGGATAGGCACCTGGAATGCAGTATGTCCGTTACCTACTCTCATCCATTCCCTCCTTCTCTTATGAAATCCAGTCAGGGGAACCTCCTTGGCCTGACATTGAAGACTGCTCATAATCTGCTCCTCATTCTCCTGTTCACACACATCTTTCAGAAGAGCCACGTTACCATCCTCCCTAGCCTCCATCCCTCACCATCACATTCAGCCGGTGTGTACTGATGTGGCCATATCAGTTGTTAAAACATTGAAATGCTTCCAGACTGGTAAATAGTCACTCCAAGGGCTCCTGAGCGCCCCCTCCCCAAGCTCCCTGACCACCACAGCCCTTTCTCTGGGACTAATGAAATGGAAGCACATGTGCAGTCTAAATGGTGCAGCCGCTACTCAGCAATAATACATCATTGCCATATGAACATTTGGGCCTGTACATTTTGTTAGATCCTTTGATTTTTTCAAGCCAGAAATCCAGAGTTTTGTATGAGATCTTACACTTTTTAAAAGCATTTCGGGGCCAAACGAAACACACCTATCAACTAGAACTAGGTTACAGGCCACTGGTCTGCCACCTCTGCTGTGCTTTTTCTCTCCTGCTACCACTGCTTTGCTAGGCACCCTGTATGTGATTACACCCAGCCCAACTGTTCAGCTCTTTCAATTAAAGAAGTTTCCATTACTCTTTCTGATTGGGCTCCAACTCAGATCTCTTCCTGTCTTTCAGTTGAGAGCACTATGTTGGTACAGGACAGAGTGTAGCTCCATTGACCAAAGGATCCCTTCCTCCAAAAACACTATGTGATTTCCCATCAGGTGAAGTTCCTTAAAATATCAGCCAAGATATCCCTGTTTTCCTAGGGTATTTGTCTCAAACAAAAATGCTCCATTTTGGAGGATAAAATTATTGGGTCACTTACACAGTATCCACATTAATTATCCCATGATAAAGGTGATCCTTATGTTCCAAGTTAATGTTCTCTCTTTCTAATGCCCTAGTGTTTTAACAGGCAAAGGGTGCTGGAGCTTTCGGCTTTGCAGTCATCTTAGTGACCTGGCAAGAATGTGTGTGTGAGGGTTTGGAGGGACTCTAAATCTGTTGAATGCTTGCATTACTCAACTTTCTCTCCTCCCCTCCTTTTTTGTGTCCTTGTTGCTTTTGTTTTGCCTTAGCGCTGCATCAGTTTGGCTATTGGAAATAAGGAGGAGCATGCCATACTTCTCTGTAATTTCTTCCTGTATTTTGGAAAGAAAGCTTTGGTCCTCCTAGGAACCTCGATGTTGGAAGTAAGTGTTGGACTTAATATTTAAATAGTGTAAACAAACTAATTAGCTTTTAGCTGCAAGTTTAAAAGACTTCAACCCCAAGTTTCCTTCTTTTCACAAGCTAATTAGGAAATTTCCTAGGCGAACAATTATTTACTTAGGAGGATAATGTTCGTTCATCAAAATTTCTACAATGTAAAGAATGACTTCCTTTTGTTTTTCTTCTTCGTAAAGTAGTACAAATAATAGTGCTACTTCATGGAGCTACTAAAAATATTAAATTACATAGTAAATAGCACTGGGGACAGCACCTGGTTTATGTGGAAAATGCTCAATAAAATGGTGGTGGTAGGTGATGTAGTAATAGTTACAGTAGTAGTTATAGTGGTTGTTAACCATCATCACCACCATCATCTTTATGTGTCCCTAACACGATATTTTAAGATCCTTAAGAAGTACTTCTTCCTGTTTTACACTGCTCACTTTTTAATCGTGTAAGAAGTGGGCCAGAAATTTATGTTAACCTACCTGAAATTTTTACAACTTATATACACCTGCATTCAAGCCTCCAGAAAGCTGTCTTCTTTTTGATGTTTCTACTCCTACTATGAATATCTTGATAAGTGTCAAAAACTTCCAGTCCTGTTTTATGGTTTTTGTCATGATCATTTATTTCTCTATATTCCCTTAATTTCCCCATATGATCCCCCTGCTGTAGTTTTGAGTGCCACTAGATGGCAGTAAACAATATTTCAACAAACATTTTTACAGTTTTACCTCTGAGTCAACACTGGGTGGCAGCACTCATCTGTGCCTTTCACCTCTGCTACTGGTTGAGGTGAAGCCTCTTTACTGTAAAGATGAGCACAGTGATAAAGAGCAAGAGCTTTGGAGTTAGGGAAACCAGGCTACACAGCACAGTGTTAAGAGTATTGATTTGGGGCTTCCCTGGTGGCGCAGTGGTTGAGAGTCCGCCTGCCGATGCAGGAGACACGGGTTCGTGCCCCGATCCGGGAGGATCCCTACATGCCGCGGAGCGGCTGGGCCCGTGAGCCATGGCCGCTGAGCCTGCGCGTCCGGAGCCTGTTGCTCCGCAACGGGAGAGGCCACAACAGTGAGAGGCCCGCGTTACCGCAAAAAAAAAAAAAAAAAGTATAGATTTGGAGGTCAAAGAGGATTTTAAAAGCCAGAAATGACGTTTACTAACTGTACGATCTCAGCCTTATTTCTCTGAGCCTCGTTTATCTCCTCCCCGAAAAGGAGTAATTCCATTTACTGTTACCCTAGACAAGCTTCATGTGAAAGATGGGCACGACAATCACCCCGCCTCACAGAATTCGGAATTCATGTGAGAAGCTTGGTGTGAGCGCTGAGTACAGTAGCCGGGGTGCTCGATAACTGTTAGGGCGTCATTATTATTGTTACCTGAAATTTTTACTCTTTGCTAAATAAGAAAGGTTTATACTTCAAAAGTATGTGCAGAGCAAAATAATCACATAATGGCTACTTTTATTCCTCAGGTGCTTTCCTGTGTAATTTCTCTCTGGCCTCTAACTCCGTATCTTGCTCACAAAATTAATTTTATGGCTTTTCAACTTCACTTGGCTTTTCAGAGCCTTAGGCAAAATTCCATTCCCTAACTCTGCACGGTGTTCACCCTTGGTCTCCAAGTATATTCCACATAAAGCAGGGCTAATCCCTATAGCACCTTTGTGTGAATTACACAAAAGCGCCCCTACCTCAAAACCCTTTAGTACTGGCTATTGGGAATTGGTCATAATATACTGATTTTGTTAGAACAACATATTTTATTGCTATGAGGGTACACCCTTCAGGACCATACGTGGCAGCACTAGCTCAAAAGTTCTCATTTGACTCCTCATGCTAGCCTGGGCCTGAGGATTTCAGTTGCTTTGGTTTTATCCTTTTCAAAAAAATTGTAAAGGCCCTAAAAAAAGGCTTTTAAAAATCAGAGATAGCAGGGAGTTCCCTTGTGGTCTAGTGGCTAGGATTTTGGGCTCTCACTGCCGTGGCCCAGGTTCAATCCCTGGTCAGGGAACTGAGATTCCGCAAGCTGTGCGGCAAGGCAAATAAATAAATAATACAGGAATAAAGAATAACCAAGGTAACTGGCAATATTATCTATTAAAAAATCAGAGATATCACATGCTTACACTGTAATTTCCACATACGAAAATGAGTGAAATCAATCATCCACCAAAAATGACTTTAACTCTTTCTTCGTACAGGGACATGTGGCTTATGTATTAACACCAGAAACTGATGAATATTTGCTTTGGAATCCATTAACTGGGCAATGTCATAAGCAGTTTGACCCATTTTGTCCCTTACAAAGTGTAGATTGTTTGTTTGATGGTGAAAATGTAAGTATATGGCGGGGGGCGGGAGGGGGGCGGGATCTTGAGTTATCTCCTCAAGAGTTAAACCTGTGGTTCTGTACACTGACCATATGTTAGAATCATGTGGGAGCTTGGAAGAAGCTATAGATGTTCAGTTAGAATCCCTGGGGTGTAGGGCCAGGGGAATCTTTTATCCCCAAGGCTCCTTGACGTGATTCTGCAGTGCCTCCGAGGTTGAGAACCAGCGAGCAGTCTAGCGTGCACACACCCCTGGAATCTCTGTACCTCCTGCCTCAGAACCATCCTTGGCTTCCGCCACTTCACTGGGGAGTAGGACTGTAAAATTTTGCTCCGTCCGAACCTACTATGGGCTTCGTACTCCTGTGGGCCTCTACTGATTTTATGTTGATGTATTAATAGGTCTGGTTTAACATTCAGCAGAATAATTCACCAAGGGCTGTATATTTTGACTATTCAAAGGAAAGTTTCTGGAAACAGTTGCTTCCAAAAAATTATCAAGGGACGAAAGCACAAAGCATACAGGTAAATTATACTTTTCCAGGTGTGTCTCTATGAAAGTTACCATTGGTTCTAATCTTAGGAATTGTGACAGCTCTTATGATGTTTATACAGCTGATTGCTTATTGAATTATTTGGCAGTGTTAATAAAACCTAGTTTTCTCTGCCCTCCAGCCTGAGTTTGGGCTATTGCGATCCTTTTTCTCTACTTGCAGAAAAGAGGGATTGAGAAGAAGGTATCATCTTAATTGTGAATTTAGGTTTTAAAACAAAAATTTTTTAATGTTCATCATGAAACATAAAAAATAATGTCAAGATGGTGTAATAAGTTCTTACTTTGACCTAGCCCTTCTACTACATATCCATAACAGTGATAAAGTATAAAAACGGAAAAACAGAAGGCTTGTCTGGGCCCCGAACCATGGTAGTTATCTCATGGAATAGAAGCAGGACAGAAACACTAGCAGTGAGTGGGGCCCAAAGAGGACGGCACCAAGGTCTGAAAATGCTTCATGAAATCCAGAGAACCAGAGCCAGTCTCACTTTTTGAAGCCAGGGACTGTGTTGCGGCTCCCCTACTTTGCTACTCTTGAGAGGAGATGGGAAAGAAAAGCAGCAGACTCACTGCCTGGGGCTCAGGAGGTCAGAGACCAAAGTACAGAGCTGAGAATCAGGAACCAACTAATCACCAGATGGCTTGTCCAGGGGATCTATGATGTGCTCACTACTGCTTTGGGAAGGCACCCAAATTCCATGTCGACAGCTGTCTCTGGATTGAGAGCCATGGGATGGCAGTGTGCAGGCAACTGCACAATTCAAAAGCTAGGAGCTATGACCCAGAGGAAGAAAGAGAGGGGGGATGAGAAAAAGGACAATGGAAAAATAGGAAGAAGACAAGTCACAGAAGCAGAAACTCTAGGGCTCAACGTCACTCATAACGAGGGAAATGCAATTTAAAACAATAAAACACTATTTCACATGTAGAAGACTGGCCAAACTTTTTAAAAAGTGTGATCACATCTAGTATTGGCAAAGAGGCAGAGAAAGGGTGGGAGTGTGAATTGCTATAAACACTTTAGAAAGCAGTATGGTAAGGTTGGTAAAGCTGAAGAAACTCAGCCTCTGATCCACCAGTTCATCTTCTAAGTATATAGCCTAGAGATACACGCACAGGGAGACAAGTACACGATGGTCATTACTGAATTGCTTGAAATAGCAATAAATAAATAAATAAAAGGAAACAATTCATCAACCAGAAAATGGGCACATGAGTTATGAATACTCCTACTATAAAATATTCTATACAGCAGTAAAAAAAAAGAATATATGAAACTACTTTACTGTAGTTCTCAACTTGGCTGTACATGCATTGTATCAGAATGTCTGAGGGAAGAGCCCACGCGTTGGTATTACTTAAAGCTCCCCATGTGATCCCACATGCAGCCAAGGTTGAGAACTACTGACCTAGAGCCACTGTTATCAACATGAATGAATATAAAAAATGTAATGTTAAGCAAAGTAAAGAAGATGTGAAATGACACACTTATATGAAGTTTGAAAAATATATGTTGTTTACGTATATAGAGATATATACTGATAGTGTAAAAGCTTGCATGGGAATGATAAACACCAAATTTAGGGTAAAGTTTACCTTTGGAAAGAGGGAAAAAAAAGAATGATATCAGGGAGCAGTATACAGAGTACTTCAAATCTATCTGTAATGTTTTACATCTTTAAAAAATACCTAGAACAAGTATGGAAGAATGCAAAGATTAGATATAGCTTGGTGGTATGTATGTTGGGTGGATGTTCATTACATTATTCTCAGTGCTTTATCTGAGAATGTTTGACATAGTTCATAATATCAAAAAGAAGGAATGGTGGTTGTGGGGAGAAAAATCAAACAGTATCAAAGTGTAAAAAGTGAAGAGTTTCTCTCCTCTTCAACATCTTTTTCCCACTTTCTAAGAAATAGCCACTGTTGGTAGCTTCTTGTGCATCCTTCTGAACATTCTCCTTGCAGATGTTTGTAAAGTCCTTATAAGGAAGGGGAAGTGTGCTTATCTCTCTTGAGCAAACCACATTTGTGGCATCCACAGACCTTGCTTGCTTTTCCCATCCCAAAGTTGTGACTTTAGAAAGCAATATGCTGCCTCCTAGGGGGGAGAATGATATATTTAGAGTTGAGGTTTTTTGTTTCTATTAATCATTCTCTTATTAATTCAGGTAATGTGTATTGAGTGCTGCAGCGGGCCACCACTGTTTTAGGTATAGGTACCACGAGGAAAAAGACATGTCTCAGTGCTCTTGGAGCTTGTGTTCTAGAGGAGGAAACAGAAGGAGACGAGCACTTGCTGTACAGAGCGATAAATGCTATTATAGAAGAAATGAATGTGCTTTGGGGAGCACTCAGCAGGAGGCCTGAGGTGAAGGGGAGTTGCAGGGGCTTCCTGGGGAAAAAAAGTGATGACTAGCAGAGTGAAGAAGGGTGAGCAGGAGCTGGTCTAGATGGAAGTTAAGGAGGAGAATGGTCCCAGCACAGAGCGGGGACAGCAGGCATGAAGACCTGCAGTGGCAAGCAGATGTCTGTCGAGGAGCTGAAAGGCCAGCCTGGCTGCTGCCAAGGAGTGAGCAGAGGACAGTCAGAAGCCAACATCACCAAGGCAAGGGCTGCCATAATCAAAATTATATTTTTAAAAGCCACTAAACCCTTTGTCAAGTTGAATATATAAATATAAAACTCATAGTTGCCTTTGACTTGTATCCCTACTGATTTCTTTCCTGTGGGTTAATGGCCCTTGATCTTCTGCCTTGTCGCACACATACCGGAACAAACCACTACCTGTGGTGAACACTGTTGTCATTTTTTTTTCTTCATCGCAATTGAGAAGGCAAATTTGAGTGTGTATGATGAGAATATGGGTATTCAGAGATGGAGTTAACAGGGAAATCCTCTCGAAGTTTTAAAGGATATGAATTCCCTGAAAGGGGCCTTTGCCTGAAAAGAAAATAGACTAACACTCCATAAACTTATCAAGTCAACATAACCCAGGCCTCTTTTTCAGGCCTGAAAGTGGCCTAACTAATCCGTAAGCGTTGCCAGGATAGGGGTGCAGGGGATTGTTTTGGAGGGGCAGACAGTGGCTGGTGACAGCAATCAGGGACTTCAGTTTACCTGTCCTGACTGTGAGAGTTGGTGGCCCCTGTAAGGTGATGCCGCAGTTTACGCTTCCCTTTCTCCCGTGTCTCTCATCTCCTGCCGTGTTCACTGTGGGGAAAGTCACTGTGCTTGAGCCTATGCTCTAATCTAGTGGCTCTCCAACCACGGCAGGCATCAGAACCTTCTGGAGGGCTTGTGGAAAAATGGATTGCTGGGCCTTACCCTCAGAGTTTCTGAATCACTGGGTCTGAGGTTGCTGGCCTGGGGGCCACATTTTGGGAGCCACTGGCTTAGATCGCCACCTGACAGACTGAGCCCCCTCAAATCACTCCCGAAATTTTCTAAGACCTAGAGGCCTAGCAAATGTTTCCTTCTTTTCGTACAACCCTCATTCCACTCATGAGGGGGAAACATCTGTCCGTGTCTCTATAGCTCCTCTATTTCTCAGCTCAGAAATATCCTAAGTAAAAACCGCCTAAACCCAACCCCTCCCTCTTGTCTATCTGAGCCCTGCAGGGAGGGGAGGAACGGGTTAGGTAGCGGGGAGGGCGTTGGAGAAGTCCCCTCCTCCTCCCAGAAAATCCTGCTCAGGGGGCAACATGGGGAAACATGGTAGAGCATTGCTCTCTGCTGTTGCTGGGGTGCCTGGGGCAAAGGCTTGGAGACGGGGAGACTGAAATGGACTCTGCGTGTATGTGCGAGTGTGTGCACATGCGCACATGCAAACACAGAGCCCTGACTCCCGCCTGCTGAAAGGAACAAATAATCAAAGGAGGAAGATGATACACCATGCTACAAGAGTAATAATAACAATAGTATCTGATCTTTGTTGAACAATATGTGCCAGGCTTTACATGTATTACTTGATTTTAAAATCTTTGCATGGTCCCAGGGGAGTAGGTACTGTTATTGTCCCTCTTTAAAAGACGTGGTAACTGAGACTCACAGAGGTTAAGTGACTTCACCAAGGTCACAGTTAATAAGTGGAAGATACCAGTGCAACTTCCAAGATTATCTGGTAGAATCAATAAGCATGTCAAATGCTTGTTTGAATAAACAGATGGGGACAGCAGATCTTTTTCTGTCATGAAAAATATCTTTTGTAAATCCATTCTCCCTTCCATGCCCTGGTGAAGTAGTATTAAAATCAAAGGGAACACTGTGATCTGTGTTACCTTTGTGCCTCTACCACTGAGTGTTTTTGCCACATGAGACTGGTTTAGGTTCACCCTCATTATAATCAGCACTCCAAGGGGCGACTGACGTAAAGATGGTCTCCCTAGAATCTTTTCTAACTTTCAGTTTTCTGTATTTCAGCCTGAAGAAATAACTTATTCTGATACTAATAAAAGCATGGTAGAAGATCTAAAGAACAGGTATGATCTCTATTTATATGTTATGATTATCATGTTTTCTCTCTAATCTCTCATTCAGCCACCCTTCAGTCCTCTAACCCAGTCTCTCAAAATACCCATTGGATTCAGCAACAGAAGCATGAAATGGAGATTATAATAGTTACTTCCACTGAGTCATCTGTCTCTTGGTGCATGCATCAAAAATCAGCCCCTCTGCTATCCACGGCACTTTTTGAAAAAACATGCCAAGTTAAATATGGTTGCATCTGGAAAACATTGTGGGCTGCCGTTAGGAAGTTCTCAACACAGACACCTATTGAGCCGTATAGTAATAATAATGCAGTAGCTAACACTTCTTGAAAGGACAGGAAGGTAAATGGCCCACAACTTGGTGTGTGGTAAAAACAGCCAAGCTGGGTGGCAGCAACATCAGTACTGTCCCTAGTAGGCACCCCTCCCCCTCCCCCCACCACACACACACACACACACACACACACACACACACACACACACACACATGTCCGGAGGAGTTGTTGAGTCAAGCCCAAAGGGTCACAGCCTTGCAGCAGACCTCACTCCTACTCCAGATGTGTCAGAAGCTTCTAGATCTGACTACCTCCAGTGACTCATGCTGACACAGCAGGCTGGCATGTAAGCCGCTACCAACTAATTGAAACAGAATATGACAAAAATCATTTTGCCACTCCCTTTTCTCACTAGCACACAACTCTCACCTCTTATTCCCCTCCTTCTTCCCCAACTCTTAACAAAGAAGGAATAAAAGCACTAGGAAAATGGTCCCCAACTTCTGGTTTTCATCAGAAAGTGCTTCTAGAACTATTTTAAAATATAGGTGCCAGAGGTCAAGACCAGACCTGTTGAATCACTATCTGGAAGACAGTGAAATATTTTGATAAAGTCCTACAGGTGATTCTGGCGTATAGCCGTGACTGAGACTCTCTGCAAACTCGAAACCGCTTAGTTACTTTATGGACTCAGCCGAGAGGAGAGGCCCAGCAGCTTCTTCCGGAGCACACAATGATCCTGCCCAGAGGAGAAGCTTCCTTCAACCAACTCACACTGTGCTCCACTTTCTCCCCTCCCCGAAACAGTTCCTCAGCAGGCACTGTTTTAGAGGCGGCATAGGTAGGCAGAACTCCCTGCGCTTGTGGAGCATACATTCTGGTAGGGAAACTGCTCGTCATACTGATCAGCCCAGTGCTTCATTTCCTCCCAATTCTGCTTGCTGAATTAGCTGACCCAGTTACCCCACTCCTGCTAACATTATCCCAGACAAGATATCTGAATTTTTGTAAAGGCATTTCTTGGAAACACAATGTCTTATGTCAAAGGAGGGTCTTGGAGAATAGGAATGCCAACCCAGTAATCAGATGGTAGGCAAATCACACCCAGTAGGCAGATATCCCTAGCCATAGAGGTCTGGTTTTCTCCTAAATCAAAAAAGTATCATTCTCATACTTGAGAAAAAGTGACAAAACTTTTTTCCCATTTATTTAAATGAGTTGTAATTTATCATAAGATAATCTTTGCATTCTTACCTTAGGATTGAAAGAACTCTGAAATATAAAATAATGGAATGGCGACCTAAACAGCCAACACGTTGGAATAGACAATGTACTTTCATTTTAAGACAAATCCTTCCTAAGTTAGAGCTTGGCACCGGAAACTTTGTTTCATCTGAAGAAGAGAGTGAATTTGAAAGGCTGCTACAATTTTACTGGGTTTGTATATGATTTAATGCATTAATGTCATTTGTTTTATCTATGTTATTAATTGCCAGATGATACTAATCTTAAGTATCCCTGAAATGCCTTTTATCTTGATCTTAGGTGATACATGCTATGGCATTAAAATGCATTTACTTATAGACGGAGAAATTTCAAATGTAGTGAGTAACTAGTACCATGACCAGATTGCGTGACATTTTCTTGGAATCAGTTTTTTAATGTATAAACCACAAACTTTGGAAAGAGATAGCCAAAAGGAAACCACTTGCAACTAAGAAACTAAAAAATGATTTCTAGATGGTAGTAATAGAATGGATTCCATGTCCTTGCTTCTGGGCAAGAGGACTAAGGCAAGCTTCAATATCTTCTACATGCAAATTATTCTCAAATTTATACATCCAGCCTGGACTTCTGACCTCCTCTCATATATTCACCAGCACATTTGACATCATCATGGATGGTAGAAAGGCACTTCAAACTCAGTTAAGTCCATAATCAGACATGGTGGGCATCTGGTGTATTGTTAGGGTCCTTCTTTTCTTCCCCTATGATGTCCTTAGTTCTGGAATCCTCTCACCTCCTTTTCCCTATGAATTGTTCCAGTGGGTTTTTGGAAGCCCCAGCCTCCCAAGAGTGATATTCCTTCCCCCTCCTATCCCGTAGACTAGAAGATGTCTCCTCGGGAAACCCTCTAAGAGAAGAAAGGAAGGAATCTGTTGGGAGTTTATACTCAGGCTGCCAGGGAGGGATCTGCAGGCACTATTCATTCATGAATAGGGAGGAAGTTGTTTTGTTTTGCTTTCTTTTTAATAGAATGAGGGGGTAAAGAGATAAGCCAAGGTTTAAAACTTGGAGTTCCTTTGTAAAATTATCTGCTATTTAATAACACACATTCATAAACCTAGACCGAATCCTGCAGCTTGGGTTCAAATCCTGGCTCAACCACTCATTAACTTTGACCAGATTGCCTAACTTCTCTATACCTTCTACCCCACGGCTCAAGATAAACAGGGATAAAAAGAGTTACCTGCTTTGTGGTTGTGGTGAGGATTAAGTGAGCTGCTTAACCATAGCACCCAGCACTGAATAAATGTTAACTATTATTTGTATCCTATGTGGCAGCCATTGTGCTAGACACTTGGGGTTATGACAGTAAACAAGACCGATACAATCTTGAGCATTCACAGAGACTGTGGGCTAGTTTGAGAAATAGACCAGAAAACGAGTAATTGCAGTATATTTTATTAAATAAGCTAGGAAAGGACAGTGTCCTATGCAACCACAAGAGAAGAGCACATCAACAGATTTAAAGATCAGGAAAAGCCTCCCGAAATAAGCAAACTAAGTCTTGAAAGAAGCTAATGATTGTCCTTTGTATATTCTTAAATAGATAATTTTACATGGGACCATGTTCCATACCCTTTAATCCTGTCATATGGTTATCAATAAATATAAACTGAATCAATGTTAAATAAATTCTTCCAAAATGCTCCCTTAAATCTGTCACTTATAGGATCAAGGTTTCCTTGTTGGCAGTTTGCTATTCCAGAAAGGGTGCAAATATGTGGAATGTTAAGTGTGCAGGCTCTGGCATTAGACAGACCTGGTTCTGCTCCTCTCTCTCTAAAGTGGCGATTATAACAAAGCCTACCTCAAAGGGTTGTTTAAGGATTAAATATATATGTGAAGTATTTAGCATTGTGCCTAGAACATAGTAAGCACCCACAAAATGATAACTATTACTATTATTTTATGACTTCCACTTCTTTGAGGCTTCTGTAATCTCTTTGCATCCAGTAATTCTCCGTCACCTACGTGACCGTAATGTGGTTTTACGTGTTATTCTGCCATTTGTCTAGGTCGCAGGATTTCCTATCCAGATGCCATACACTGATGTACAGTCAGTTATTGATGCTGTGTATCAAACTGGAATTCATTCCTCTGAATTTCCTCAGACAGAATTCGCTCTAGCTGTGTATATTCACCCCTACGCAAACAACATATTATCTGTTTGGGTCTATTTGGCTTCATTAGCGCGATATCAGTGAAAAGGAATAAGGGAAAAGGGAAGGATTGTACATATGCCCCCAACCAGAAGCCAAACTTTTCTAGTACTTGGGATTTTCCTATTTATCCTCAAATCCAGACAAGTGTGAGCCCAATTTTTGGTTCACTTAATAGAGTTGGGCACAAGACTCACTCCCTGAGTCTTTGAGGACAAGCATAAATGACCTCCTCACCGGAGACCTCGTCAGGGAGGACACTTTGGGAAGTCTGGCGCCTTGGGTCGCTGTCTACGGTAGGTCTTATTCTGGGAAAGAAGCAATTCTGACTTCTCTCTGAGCCAGTGTTACTCAAATTGGGGGCCCCGCACCACCTCCATCAAAATCACCCGGAAAGCCTTATTGAAAATGCAGAATCCCACATCCCACCCAGGACCTACTGAATGGGGATCTCTGGGAGTACAGCTCCAGAACCTACCTTATTTTAAACAAGCTCCCCAGGTAACTCTCTTGACCAGTTAAGAGTGAGAACCTTACCTTATAGAGTGTTGTCTTTACTGAAGTGAGGCTAGTACATCTGATGCTGGTTCTGATGGAATTCCAGGCAGAAGTTATTCAAATAGAAACCCAAGGTCACTGCTTCTCGTGAGATAAAAGATTATTTCACTGGTTAAGAATAAGAGGGAAATATGCCATGTTGGGTTGAGGACCGCTTCTGGGGGCTTCTCAAAAATTTTCTCTTTGGATGCCACTGACCTGAAGTCATTTCATCTCCAAGTATTTGGAAGGGACTCCCAGGAAACACTACCTAAATGCTTTCCTGATTCTGTGAGAGAGGGAGAAAATGGTCTTACCAAATCCCAGAGCTCCTTATTTTCTTAATGAGCAGCCCCCCATTCTGCCTCTGGCACTTTTCTGCTGCTTTTCTTTCACAACGGTGCCCCCAAGGAGACCCATCTAGGGCCTCAAGAAAGAGTGGCTAGGTATCTAAGTAGGAAACACTGTACTTTCTTGTATTTGATTGTTCTGTGCTTCATTGAGAAGAGTATTCATACAGTTTATTTAAATGTGACATAACAACTTATTTTTTTAAATCAAAAGATACAGATTTCCAAAGGTTTTATATGATGAGAGCAGTTTTATATGAGGTAAAAGTCATAAAAAGAAAATTCACTTCTCCCGCTGTAGTAGCACTGGGGCTTCTTGAGTCACTCCCACAAGCAGAGAGCAGAGACCCCAAATTCATCCTCAGGGAACCCTCAGTCTGTATCCCCTCCCCCAACATACCTGCATAGGTTGATGCCAGAGAAGACCTCATTTATTTGCGGGGTGTTAGTCTCGGACCAAACTCAAGATTACTAGAAGAGTAGAAAGAGTGGGTATGTGGGTAAAGAGAATGCTTTCTCTGCAAGGTTAAAACCTAGTTATATATGTCCTCTGGCATGCATGAGAAAAATGATCAGAATTTTTGTTTTTATTTGAATGTTTGTGTTTAAATGCTATGGGAAGTTTTGTTGTTAACAAGCCTCCCACACTGATTGGGGTAGCACAAAATCGTATCTATGAAAAGCCAAGTTTGCCAAAGAGATGCTGAATTCATGCAGTTCATTTTGTGACACACTGAATGTTTACATAGCTATTTTGTTAATTGTTTGTGGTTTTAGAATTGATAGGCCACTTAAGAGTAAGGTAGAAAGTGTTCATAGGCGCGTGTGTATTGTATTCTGTATTATATGCATTTTAAAATATGTGTATGTGTTTCCCAACTAAAAATTTTTCCTAAAAGTTGTGATTGTCTATAATGAACCATTTTTTTCATTTTACTGTTTTAAAAATACGTGATATTAAATGTAACATGCAATTATAAAATTCTATGAATCTTTCCACAAATAATTACAAAGCATCCATTATGTACCAGGCACTTTATATGTGCTGGAGGACAGTAGTGAAAAGACATTCTTACAAGGGAAGTTTACATTCTTACAAGGGAAACAGCTCAGAAGCAAATAAACAGTAAGTAAGTGAGATCATTTCAGGGTATGATGAGTGCTATAAAGCAGTGGTCCCCAACCTTTTCGGCACCAGGGACCGGTTTCGTGGAAGACAATTTTTCCACGGACGGCGGTGGTGGAGTGGAGGGGGTGGGGTGGGATGGCTCAGGCGGTAACGCGAGCAGTGGGGAGCGGCAGATGAAGAAGCTTCGCTCACTCGCCCACCGCTCACCTCCTGCTTGGCGGCCCGGTTCCTAACAGGCCGCTGACGGGAGGCTGGGGACTCCCGCTATAAAGGAAGCAAAAAGGTTGGCATGATGGAGAAGGACTTTGCTGGGGATGGAGGATATAAGCAGTGTAGTGAGGGAAGGCCTCTCCACGGAGATAATGTTTGAGCAGAGATTTAAAAGATGATTTATCAAATAGAATTGCATTCAGTTGCATGTAACAGAAACCTAATCACAGTAGCGTAACCAAATAGGGATTATACAACTGCCAGGTGTGAAGGAGGCAGTCCAACTCTAGTGCAGTAGCTCTGGGATGTCAGAAGTGCACTAATCTTCGTGCGTCTTCTTCACCATCTCTAAGGAGACTTCTATCCTCTTTCTCAGTGGCTCTCAAACTTCAGCATGCCTAAGAGTCACCTGAAGACTTTGTTGAAACACAGATTGCTGGGCCTAACCTTCAGAGTTACTGATTCAGTGGGATCTGGGGTGGGGCCTGATAATTTGCATTTATAACAAGTTCCCAGGTGATACTGAGACTGCTGACCTGGGAACCACAGAGGCCATGGCCTCGCAGTCATTTTCATGGCAAGAAAATGCAGAAAGGGAAGGAGGAGGTAGAAAAGGCCTCTGGTTTAGCTCTTTTAAAAGGCTTTCCGGGAGGCTGTGTCCAGCAACTTCTACTTACATTCCATTGGCCAGAATTGCATCACTCCTAGCCACAAGAGAGGCCAGAGATCAAGTATTTTAAATGGACATATTGCTCTCCCAGTAAA